TCCAGGCGGGAGAGAGGCCTGGTACGAATGACTCGAATTGCTCAATGGAGATCACACGCGACTTGCATGTGGCCAGCATGCCATGGTCGCTCACTAGCAGCACATTCACATCGTCAGTCATGTTCCTGCAAGGAGGTTGGGGGGCAGAGGACAAACGAGGGAGGAAGGGGGAAAGGGTTTAAGGACTGGGGAGGGGATGGGGGTGTGGGAGGGAGGAAGGGAATGGATTGTGGGGGAGGGGAGGGGATGGGTCACAGGGACATGGGAATAGCACATGTGGGGCTCGAACTGTTTGAGGGAGATGACTCGCGACTTGCATGTGGCCAGCATGCCATGGTCGCTCACTACTAGCAGCACATTCACATCGTTGGTCATGTTCCTGGGGAGGGGATGAGTGGATGGGTGGGGGGAATGGTTCGGGGACAGGGCACAGGCACATTCATGTCCATTGGCAGGGACAGGGCACTCTCACCTTTAATCCAACCCAGTCAACAGGTGCCCAAACATGTTATCGACTGCGTCACAGCAGCAGCCACCAGGGGCGAGTCGGTCCCTCCCACGGCGCCCCTCCAGTCTCGCCTCCACAATCGCCAGCTCCTCACTCTCCCACCAACTCACCTTCTCAACCGCTCACCTTTGATCAAGCCCACTCAAGAGGCGCCCCAGCATGTCATCGACACGCTTCACAGCAGCAGCAACCAGCGGCATGTCCGGGCCTCCCATGTGCCCACTCTCATCTATCACTCCCGCCTCTACCTTTGATCCAGCCCATTCAAAGGTCGCCTCAGCATGCCATCAACCCGCTTCACAGCAGCAGCCACCAGGGGCGCGTCTGGGCCTCCTTTGAGCCCACTCCCATCGGCCATCCCATCAGCCATCTCCTCGCTCACCTTTGATCAAGCCCACTCAAGAGACGCCCCAGCATGCCATCAACACGCTTCACAGCAGCAGCAACCAGGGGCGTGTCCGGGCCTCCCAGGTGGCCACTCTCGTCGGGCTCCTCCAAGTAGAGCGAGAGGAAGGAGGGGCGGAGAGGAGAGGGCAGGTCCAGCCATGCTAGCACTCGATCCACTCGCTGTGTGTGGGGGAGAGGAGAAACGGGGGAGATGGGGAGAGAGACATGATGGGTTGGAAAGAGTAGGACATGATGGGTTGGAAAGAGTAGGACATGATGGGTTGGAAAGAGTAGGACATGATGGGTTGGAAAGAGTAGGACATGATGGGTTGGAAAGAGTAGGACATGATGGGTTGGAAAGAGTAGGACATGATGGGTTGGAAAGAGTAGGACATGATGGGTTGGAAAGAGTAGGACATGATGGGTTGGAAAGAGTAGGACATGATGGGTTGGAAAGAGTAGGACATGATGGGTTGGAAAGAGTAGGACATGATGGGTTGGAAAGAGTAGGACATGATGGGTTGGAAAGAGTAGGACATGATGGGTTGGAAAGAGTAGGACATGATGGGTTGGAAAGAGTAGGACATGATGGGTTGGAAAGAGTAGGACATGCTGGGTTGGAAAGAGTAGGACATGATGGGTTGGAAAGAGTAGGTGGGTTGGAAAGAGTAGGACATGCTGGGTTGGAAAGAGTAGGACATGCTGGGTTGGAAAGAGTAGGACATGATGGGTTGGAAAGAGTAGGACATGCTGGGTTGGAAAGAGTAGGACATGCTGGGTTGGAAAGAGTAGGACATGATGGGTTGGAAAGAGTAGGACATGATGGGTTGGAAAGAGTAGGACATGCTGGGTTGGAAAGAGTAGGACATGCTGGGTTGGAAAGAGTAGGACATGCTGGGTTGGAAAGAGTAGGACATGATGGGTTGGAAAGAGTAGGACATGATGGGTTGGAAAGAGTAGGACATGATGGGTTGGAAAGAGTAGGACATGATGGGTTGGAAAGAGTAGGACATGATGGGTTGGAAAGAGTAGGACATGATGGGTTGGAAAGAGTAGGACATGCTGGGTTGGAAAGAGTAGGACATGATGGGTTGGAAAGAGTAGGACATGCTGGGTTGGAAAGAGTAGGACATGCTGGGTTGGAAAGAGTAGGACATGCTGGGTTGGAAAGAGTAGGACATGCTGGGTTGGAAAGAGTAGGACATGCTGGGTTGGAAAGAGTAGGACATGCTGGGTTGGAAAGAGTAGGACATGATGGGTTGGAAAGAGTAGGACATGATGGGTTGGAAAGAGTAGGACATGATGGGTTGGAAAGAGTAGGACATGATGGGTTGGAAAGAGTAGGACATGATGGGTTGGAAAGAGTAGGACATGATGGGTTGGAAAGAGTAGGACATGATGGGTTGGAAAGAGTAGGACATGATGGGTTGGAAAGAGTAGGACATGATGGGTTGGAAAGAGTAGGACATGATGGGTTGGAAAGAGTAGGACATGATGGGTTGGAAAGAGTAGGACATGATGGGTTGGAAAGAGTAGGACATGATGGGTTGGAAAGAGTAGGACATGATGGGTTGGAAAGAGTAGGACATGCTGGGTTGGAAAGAGTAGGACATGATGGGTTGGAAAGAGTAGGACATGATGGGTTGGAAAGAGTAGGACATGATGGGTTGGAAAGAGTAGGACATGATGGGTTGGAAAGAGTAGGACATGATGGGTTGGAAAGAGTAGGACATGATGGGTTGGAAAGAGTAGGACATGCTGGGTTGGAAAGAGTAGGACATGATGGGTTGGAAAGAGTAGGACATGCTGGGTTGGAAAGAGTAGGACATGCTGGGTTGGAAAGAGTAGGACATGCTGGGTTGGAAAGAGTAGGACATGCTGGGTTGGAAAGAGTAGGACATGCTGGGTTGGAAAGAGTAGGACATGCTGGGTTGGAAAGAGTAGGACATGATGGGTTGGAAAGAGTAGGACATGATGGGTTGGAAAGAGTAGGACATGATGGGTTGGAAAGAGTAGGACATGATGGGTTGGAAAGAGTAGGACATGATGGGTTGGAAAGAGTAGGACATGATGGGTTGGAAAGAGTAGGACATGATGGGTTGGAAAGAGTAGGACATGATGGGTTGGAAAGAGTAGGACATGATGGGTTGGAAAGAGTAGGACATGCTGGGTTGGAAAGAGTAGGACATGATGGGTTGGAAAGAGTAGGACATGATGGGTTGGAAAGAGTAGGACATGATGGGTTGGAAAGAGTAGGACATGATGGGTTGGAAAGAGTAGGACATGATGGGTTGGAAAGAGTAGGACATGATGGGTTGGAAAGAGTAGGACATGATGGGTTGGAAAGAGTAGGACATGATGGGTTGGAAAGAGTAGGACATGATGGGTTGGAAAGAGTAGGACATGCTGGGTTGGAAAGAGTAGGACATGCTGGGTTGGAAAGAGTAGGACATGCTGGGTTGGAAAGAGTAGGACATGCTGGGTTGGAAAGAGTAGGACATGCTGGGTTGGAAAGAGTAGGACATGCTGGGTTGGAAAGAGTAGGACATGATGGGTTGGAAAGAGTAGGACATGATGGGTTGGAAAGAGTAGGACATGATGGGTTGGAAAGAGTAGGACATGATGGGTTGGAAAGAGTAGGACATGATGGGTTGGAAAGAGTAGGACATGATGGGTTGGAAAGAGTAGGACATGATGGGTTGGAAAGAGTAGGACATGATGGGTTGGAAAGAGTAGGACATGATGGGTTGGAAAGAGTAGGACATGATGGGTTGGAAAGAGTAGGACATGATGGGTTGGAAAGAGTAGGACATGATGGGTTGGAAAGAGTAGGACATGCTGGGTTGGAAAGAGTAGGACATGATGGGTTGGAAAGAGTAGGACATGCTGGGTTGGAAAGAGTAGGACATGCTGGGTTGGAAAGAGTAGGACATGCTGGGTTGGAAAGAGTAGGACATGATGGGTTGGAAAGAGTAGGACATGATGGGTTGGAAAGAGTAGGACATGATGGGTTGGAAAGAGTAGGACATGATGGGTTGGAAAGAGTAGGACATGCTGGGTTGGAAAGAGTAGGACATGCTGGGTTGGAAAGAGTAGGACATGCTGGGTTGGAAAGAGTAGGACATGATGGGTTGGAAAGAGTAGGACATGATGGGTTGGAAAGAGTAGGACATGATGGGTTGGAAAGAGTAGGACATGATGGGTTGGAAAGAGTAGGACATGATGGGTTGGAAAGAGTAGGACATGATGGGTTGGAAAGAGTAGGACATGCTGGGTTGGAAAGAGTAGGACATGATGGGTTGGAAAGAGTAGGACATGCTGGGTTGGAAAGAGTAGGACATGCTGGGTTGGAAAGAGTAGGACATGCTGGGTTGGAAAGAGTAGGACATGCTGGGTTGGAAAGAGTAGGACATGCTGGGTTGGAAAGAGTAGGACATGCTGGGTTGGAAAGAGTAGGACATGCTGGGTTGGAAAGAGTAGGACATGCTGGGTTGGAAAGAGTAGGACATGATGGGTTGGAAAGAGTAGGACATGATGGGTTGGAAAGAGTAGGACATGATGGGTTGGAAAGAGTAGGACATGATGGGTGGAAAGAGTAGGACATGCTGGGTTGGAAAGAGTAGGACATGATGGGTTGGAAAGAGTAGGACATGATGGGTTGGAAAGAGTAGGACATGATGGGTTGGAAAGAGTAGGACATGATGGGTTGGAAAGAGTAGGACATGATGGGTTGGAAAGAGTAGGACATGATGGGTTGGAAAGAGTAGGACATGCTGGGTTGGAAAGAGTAGGACATGATGGGTTGGAAAGAGTAGGACATGATGGGTTGGAAAGAGTAGGACATGCTGGGTTGGAAAGAGTAGGACATGCTGGGTTGGAAAGAGTAGGACATGCTGGGTTAGAAAGAGTAGGACATGATGGGTTGGAAAGAGTAGGACATGATGGGTTGGAAAGAGTAGGACATGATGGGTTGGAAAGAGTAGGACATGATGGGTTGGAAAGAGTAGGACATGCTGGGTTGGAAAGAGTAGGACATGCTGGGTTGGAAAGAGTAGGACATGCTGGGTTGGAAAGAGTAGGACATGATGGGTTGGAAGAGTAGGACATGATGGGTTGGAAAGAGTAGGACATGATGGGTTGGAAAGAGTAGGACATGATGGGTTGGAAAGAGTAGGACATGATGGGTTGGAAAGAGTAGGACATGATGGGTTGGAAAGAGTAGGACATGATGGGTTGGAAAGAGTAGGACATGATGGGTTGGAAAGAGTAGGACATGATGGGTTGGAAAGAGTAGGACATGATGGGTTGGAAAGAGTAGGACATGATGGGTTGGAAAGAGTAGGACATGATGGGTTGGAAAGAGTAGGACATGATGGGTTGGAAAGAGTAGGACATGCTGGGTTGGAAAGAGTAGGACATGATGGGTTGGAAAGAGTAGGACATGATGGGTTGGAAAGAGTAGGACATGATGGGTTGGAAAGAGTAGGACATGATGGGTTGGAAAGAGTAGGACATGATGGGTTGGAAAGAGTAGGACATGATGGGTTGGAAAGAGTAGGACATGATGGGTTGGAAAGAGTAGGACATGATGGGTTGGAAAGAGTAGGACATGATGGGTTGGAAAGAGTAGGACATGATGGGTTGGAAAGAGTAGGACATGATGGGTTGGAAAGAGTAGGACATGCTGGGTTGGAAAGAGTAGGACATGATGGGTTGGAAAGAGTAGGACATGCTGGGTTGGAAAGAGTAGGACATGCTGGGTTGGAAAGAGTAGGACATGCTGGGTTGGAAAGAGTAGGACATGATGGGTTGGAAAGAGTAGGACATGATGGGTTGGAAAGAGTAGGACATGATGGGTTGGAAAGAGTAGGACATGATGGGTTGGAAAGAGTAGGACATGATGGGTTGGAAAGAGTAGGACATGATGGGTTGGAAAGAGTAGGACATGCTGGGTTGGAAAGAGTAGGACATGATGGGTTGGAAAGAGTAGGACATGATGGGTTGGAAAGAGTAGGACATGCTGGGTTGGAAAGAGTAGGACATGATGGGTTGGAAAGAGTAGGACATGATGGGTTGGAAAGAGTAGGACATGATGGGTTGGAAAGAGTAGGACATGCTGGGTTGGAAAGAGTAGGACATGCTGGGTTGGAAAGAGTAGGACATGATGGGTTGGAAAGAGTAGGACATGATGGGTTGGAAAGAGTAGGACATGATGGGTTGGAAAGAGTAGGACATGCTGGGTTGGAAAGAGTAGGACATGATGGGTTGGAAAGAGTAGGACATGATGGGTTGGAAAGAGTAGGACATGATGGGTTGGAAAGAGTAGGACATGATGGGTTGGAAAGAGTAGGACATGCTGGGTTGGAAAGAGTAGGACATGATGGGTTGGAAAGAGTAGGACATGCTGGTTGGAAAGAGTAGGACATGCTGGGTTGGAAAGAGTAGGACATGATGGGTTGGAAAGAGTAGGACATGCTGGGTTGGAAAGAGTAGGACATGCTGGGTTGGAAAGAGTAGGACATGCTGGGTTGGAAAGAGTAGGACATGATGGGTTGGAAAGAGTAGGACATGATGGGTTGGAAAGAGTAGGACATGATGGGTTGGAAAGAGTAGGACATGATGGGTTGGAAAGAGTAGGACATGATGGGTTGGAAAGAGTAGGACATGATGGGTTGGAAAGAGTAGGACATGATGGGTTGGAAAGAGTAGGACATGATGGGTTGGAAAGAGTAGGACATGATGGGTTGGAAAGAGTAGGACATGATGGGTTGGAAAGAGTAGGACATGATGGGTTGGAAAGAGTAGGACATGATGGGTTGGAAAGAGTAGGACATGATGGGTTGGAAAGAGTAGGACATGATGGGTTGGAAAGAGTAGGACATGCTGGGTTGGAAAGAGTAGGACATGCTGGGTTGGAAAGAGTAGGACATGCTGGGTTGGAAAGAGTAGGACATGATGGGTTGGAAAGAGTAGGACATGATGGGTTGGAAAGAGTAGGACATGATGGGTTGGAAAGAGTAGGACATGATGGGTTGGAAAGAGTAGGACATGATGGGTTGGAAAGAGTAGGACATGATGGGTTGGAAAGAGTAGGACATGATGGGTTGGAAAGAGTAGGACATGATGGGTTGGAAAGAGTAGGACATGATGGGTTGGAAAGAGTAGGACATGATGGGTTGGAAAGAGTAGGACATGCTGGGTTGGAAAGAGTAGGACATGCTGGGTTGGAAAGAGTAGGACATGCTGGGTTGGAAAGAGTAGGACATGATGGGTTGGAAAGAGTAGGACATGATGGGTTGGAAAGAGTAGGACATGATGGGTTGGAAAGAGTAGGACATGATGGGTTGGAAAGAGTAGGACATGATGGGTTGGAAAGAGTAGGACATGCTGGGTTGGAAAGAGTAGGACATGCTGGGTTGGAAAGAGTAGGACATGATGGGTTGGAAAGAGTAGGACATGATGGGTTGGAAAGAGTAGGACATGATGGGTTGGAAAGAGTAGGACATGATGGGTTGGAAAGAGTAGGACATGATGGGTTGGAAAGAGTAGGACATGATGGGTTGGAAAGAGTAGGACATGCTGGGTTGGAAAGAGTAGGACATGCTGGGTTGGAAAGAGTAGGACATGCTGGGTTGGAAAGAGTAGGACATGATGGGTTGGAAAGAGTAGGACATGCTGGGTTGGAAAGAGTAGGACATGCTGGGTTGGAAAGAGTAGGACATGCTGGGTTGGAAAGAGTAGGACATGATGGGTTGGAAAGAGTAGGACATGCTGGGTTGGAAAGAGTAGGACATGATGGGTTGGAAAGAGTAGGACATGATGGGTTGGAAAGAGTAGGACATGCTGGGTTGGAAAGAGTAGGACATGATGGGTTGGAAAGAGTAGGACATGATGGGTTGGAAAGAGTAGGACATGATGGGTTGGAAAGAGTAGGACATGATGGGTTGGAAAGAGTAGGACATGCTGGGTTGGAAAGAGTAGGACATGCTGGGTTGGAAAGAGTAGGACATGCTGGGTTGGAAAGAGTAGGACATGATGGGTTGGAAAGAGTAGGACATGATGGGTTGGAAAGAGTAGGACATGATGGGTTGGAAAGAGTAGGACATGCTGGGTTGGAAAGAGTAGGACATGATGGGTTGGAAAGAGTAGGACATGATGGGTTGGAAAGAGTAGGACATGATGGGTTGGAAAGAGTAGGACATGATGGGTTGGAAAGAGTAGGACATGATGGGTTGGAAAGAGTAGGACATGATGGGTTGGAAAGAGTAGGACATGATGGGTTGGAAAGAGTAGGACATGATGGGTTGGAAAGAGTAGGACATGCTGGGTTGGAAAGAGTAGGACATGCTGGGTTGGAAAGAGTAGGACATGCTGGGTTGGAAAGAGTAGGACATGATGGGTTGGAAAGAGTAGGACATGATGGGTTGGAAAGAGTAGGACATGATGGGTTGGAAAGAGTAGGACATGATGGGTTGGAAAGAGTAGGACATGATGGGTTGGAAAGAGTAGGACATGCTGGGTTGGAAAGAGTAGGACATGCTGGGTTGGAAAGAGTAGGACATGATGGGTTGGAAAGAGTAGGACATGATGGGTTGGAAAGAGTAGGACATGATGGGTTGGAAAGAGTAGGACATGCTGGGTTGGAAAGAGTAGGACATGATGGGTTGGAAAGAGTAGGACATGATGGGTTGGAAAGAGTAGGACATGCTGGGTTGGAAAGAGTAGGACATGCTGGGTTGGAAAGAGTAGGACATGCTGGGTTGGAAAGAGTAGGACATGATGGGTTGGAAAGAGTAGGACATGCTGGGTTGGAAAGAGTAGGACATGCTGGGTTGGAAAGAGTAGGACATGCTGGGTTGGAAAGAGTAGGACATGATGGGTTGGAAAGAGTAGGACATGATGGGTTGGAAAGAGTAGGACATGCTGGGTTGGAAAGAGTAGGACATGATGGGTTGGAAAGAGTAGGACATGCTGGGTTGGAAAGAGTAGGACATGATGGGTTGGAAAGAGTAGGACATGATGGGTTGGAAAGAGTAGGACATGATGGGTTGGAAAGAGTAGGACATGATGGGTTGGAAAGAGTAGGACATGCTGGGTTGGAAAGAGTAGGACATGCTGGGTTGGAAAGAGTAGGACATGCTGGGTTGGAAAGAGTAGGACATGATGGGTTGGAAAGAGTAGGACATGATGGGTTGGAAAGAGTAGGACATGATGGGTTGGAAAGAGTAGGACATGCTGGGTTGGAAAGAGTAGGACATGATGGGTTGGAAAGAGTAGGACATGATGGGTTGGAAAGAGTAGGACATGATGGGTTGGAAAGAGTAGGACATGATGGGTTGGAAAGAGTAGGACATGATGGGTTGGAAAGAGTAGGACATGCTGGGTTGGAAAGAGTAGGACATGCTGGGTTGGAAAGAGTAGGACATGCTGGGTTGGAAAGAGTAGGACATGCTGGGTTGGAAAGAGTAGGACATGCTGGGTTGGAAAGAGTAGGACATGATGGGTTGGAAAGAGTAGGACATGATGGGTTGGAAAGAGTAGGACATGCTGGGTTGGAAAGAGTAGGACATGCTGGGTTGGAAAGAGTAGGACATGCTGGGTTGGAAAGAGTAGGACATGATGGGTTGGAAAGAGTAGGACATGCTGGGTTGGAAAGAGTAGGACATGATGGGTTGGAAAGAGTAGGACATGATGGGTTGGAAAGAGTAGGACATGCTGGGTTGGAAAGAGTAGGACATGATGGGTTGGAAAGAGTAGGACATGATGGGTTGGAAAGAGTAGGACATGATGGGTTGGAAAGAGTAGGACATGATGGGTTGGAAAGAGTAGGACATGATGGGTTGGAAAGAGTAGGACATGATGGGTTGGAAAGAGTAGGACATGCTGGGTTGGAAAGAGTAGGACATGCTGGGTTGGAAAGAGTAGGACATGCTGGGTTGGAAAGAGTAGGACATGATGGGTTGGAAAGAGTAGGACATGATGGGTTGGAAAGAGTAGGACATGATGGGTTGGAAAGAGTAGGACATGATGGGTTGGAAAGAGTAGGACATGCTGGGTTGGAAAGAGTAGGACATGCTGGGTTGGAAAGAGTAGGACATGCTGGGTTGGAAAGAGTAGGACATGCTGGGTTGGAAAGAGTAGGACATGATGGGTTGGAAAGAGTAGGACATGATGGGTTGGAAAGAGTAGGACATGATGGGTTGGAAAGAGTAGGACATGCTGGGTTGGAAAGAGTAGGACATGATGGGTTGGAAAGAGTAGGACATGATGGGTTGGAAAGAGTAGGACATGATGGGTTGGAAAGAGTAGGACATGATGGGTTGGAAAGAGTAGGACATGATGGGTTGGAAAGAGTAGGACATGCTGGGTTGGAAAGAGTAGGACATGCTGGGTTGGAAAGAGTAGGACATGCTGGGTTGGAAAGAGTAGGACATGCTGGGTTGGAAAGAGTAGGACATGCTGGGTTGGAAAGAGTAGGACATGATGGGTTGGAAAGAGTAGGACATGATGGGTTGGAAAGAGTAGGACATGCTGGGTTGGAAAGAGTAGGACATGCTGGGTTGGAAAGAGTAGGACATGCTGGGTTGGAAAGAGTAGGACATGATGGGTTGGAAAGAGTAGGACATGCTGGGTTGGAAAGAGTAGGACATGATGGGTTGGAAAGAGTAGGACATGATGGGTTGGAAAGAGTAGGACATGCTGGGTTGGAAAGAGTAGGACATGATGGGTTGGAAAGAGTAGGACATGATGGGTTGGAAAGAGTAGGACATGATGGGTTGGAAAGAGTAGGACATGATGGGTTGGAAAGAGTAGGACATGATGGGTTGGAAAGAGTAGGACATGATGGGTTGGAAAGAGTAGGACATGCTGGGTTGGAAAGAGTAGGACATGCTGGGTTGGAAAGAGTAGGACATGCTGGGTTGGAAAGAGTAGGACATGATGGGTGGAAAGAGTAGGACATGATGGGTTGGAAAGAGTAGGACATGATGGGTTGGAAAGAGTAGGACATGATGGGTTGGAAAGAGTAGGACATGCTGGGTTGGAAAGAGTAGGACATGCTGGGTTGGAAAGAGTAGGACATGCTGGGTTGGAAAGAGTAGGACATGCTGGGTTGGAAAGAGTAGGACATGATGGGTTGGAAAGAGTAGGACATGATGGGTTGGAAAGAGTAGGACATGATGGGTTGGAAAGAGTAGGACATGATGGGTTGGAAAGAGTAGGACATGATGGGTTGGAAAGAGTAGGACATGATGGGTTGGAAAGAGTAGGACATGCTGGGTTGGAAAGAGTAGGACATGCTGGGTTGGAAAGAGTAGGACATGATGGGTTGGAAAGAGTAGGACATGATGGGTTGGAAAGAGTAGGACATGATGGGTTGGAAAGAGTAGGACATGATGGGTTGGAAAGAGTAGGACATGATGGGTTGGAAAGAGTAGGACATGATGGGTTGGAAAGAGTAGGACATGCTGGGTTGGAAAGAGTAGGACATGCTGGGTTGGAAAGAGTAGGACATGCTGGGTTGGAAAGAGTAGGACATGCTGGGTTGGAAAGAGTAGGACATGCTGGGTTGGAAAGAGTAGGACATGCTGGGTTGGAAAGAGTAGGACATGCTGGGTTGGAAAGAGTAGGACATGCTGGGTTGGAAAGAGTAGGACATGCTGGGTTGGAAAGAGTAGGACATGATGGGTTGGAAAGAGTAGGACATGATGGGTTGGAAAGAGTAGGACATGATGGGTTGGAAAGAGTAGGACATGATGGGTTGGAAAGAGTAGGACATGATGGGTTGGAAAGAGTAGGACATGATGGGTTGGAAAGAGTAGGACATGCTGGGTTGGAAAGAGTAGGACATGATGGGTTGGAAAGAGTAGGACATGATGGGTTGGAAAGAGTAGGACATGATGGGTTGGAAAGAGTAGGACATGATGGGTTGGAAAGAGTAGGACATGATGGGTTGGAAAGAGTAGGACATGCTGGGTTGGAAAGAGTAGGACATGCTGGGTTGGAAAGAGTAGGACATGATGGGTTGGAAAGAGTAGGACATGCTGGGTTGGAAAGAGTAGGACATGCTGGGTTGGAAAGAGTAGGACATGCTGGGTTGGAAAGAGTAGGACATGCTGGGTTGGAAAGAGTAGGACATGATGGGTTGGAAAGAGTAGGACATGATGGGTTGGAAAGAGTAGGACATGATGGGTTGGAAAGAGTAGGACATGCTGGGTTGGAAAGAGTAGGACATGATGGGTTGGAAAGAGTAGGACATGATGGGTTGGAAAGAGTAGGACATGATGGGTTGGAAAGAGTAGGACATGATGGGTTGGAAAGAGTAGGACATGATGGGTTGGAAAGAGTAGGACATGATGGGTTGGAAAGAGTAGGACATGATGGGTTGGAAAGAGTAGGACATGATGGGTTGGAAAGAGTAGGACATGATGGGTTGGAAAGAGTAGGACATGATGGGTTGGAAAGAGTAGGACATGATGGGTTGGAAAGAGTAGGACATGATGGGTTGGAAAGAGTAGGACATGATGGGTTGGAAAGAGTAGGACATGATGGGTTGGAAAGAGTAGGACATGATGGGTTGGAAAGAGTAGGACATGCTGGGTTGGAAAGAGTAGGACATGCTGGGTTGGAAAGAGTAGGACATGCTGGGTTGGAAAGAGTAGGACATGCTGGGTTGGAAAGAGTAGGACATGATGGGTTGGAAAGAGTAGGACATGATGGGTTGGAAAGAGTAGGACATGATGGGTTGGAAAGAGTAGGACATGCTGGGTTGGAAAGAGTAGGACATGATGGGTTGGAAAGAGTAGGACATGATGGGTTGGAAAGAGTAGGACATGATGGGTTGGAAAGAGTAGGACATGATGGGTTGGAAAGAGTAGGACATGATGGGTTGGAAAGAGTAGGACATGATGGGTTGGAAAGAGTAGGACATGATGGGTTGGAAAGAGTAGGACATGATGGGTTGGAAAGAGTAGGACATGATGGGTTGGAAAGAGTAGGACATGATGGGTTGGAAAGAGTAGGACATGATGGGTTGGAAAGAGTAGGACATGATGGGTTGGAAAGAGTAGGACATGATGGGTTGGAAAGAGTAGGACATGCTGGGTTGGAAAGAGTAGGACATGCTGGGTTGGAAAGAGTAGGACATGCTGGGTTGGAAAGAGTAGGACATGCTGGGTTGGAAAGAGTAGGACATGCTGGGTTGGAAAGAGTAGGACATGCTGGGTTGGAAAGAGTAGGACATGCTGGGTTGGAAAGAGTAGGACATGCTGGGTTGGAAAGAGTAGGACATGATGGGTTGGAAAGAGTAGGACATGATGGGTGGAAAGAGTAGGACATGATGGGTTGGAAAGAGTAGGACATGATGGGTTGGAAAGAGTAGGACATGATGGGTTGGAAAGAGTAGGACATGATGGGTTGGAAAGAGTAGGACATGATGGGTTGGAAAGAGTAGGACATGATGGGTTGGAAAGAGTAGGACATGATGGGTTGGAAAGAGTAGGACATGATGGGTTGGAAAGAGTAGGACATGATGGGTTGGAAAGAGTAGGACATGATGGGTTGGAAAGAGTAGGACATGATGGGTTGGAAAGAGTAGGACATGATGGGTTGGAAAGAGTAGGACATGATGGGTTGGAAAGAGTAGGACATGCTGGGTTGGAAAGAGTAGGACATGCTGGGTTGGAAAGAGTAGGACATGCTGGGTTGGAAAGAGTAGGACATGCTGGGTTGGAAAGAGTAGGACATGATGGGTTGGAAAGAGTAGGACATGATGGGTTGGAAAGAGTAGGACATGATGGGTTGGAAAGAGTAGGACATGATGGGTTGGAAAGAGTAGGACATGATGGGTTGGAAAGAGTAGGACATGATGGGTTGGAAAGAGTAGGACATGATGGGTTGGAAAGAGTAGGACATGATGGGTTGGAAAGAGTAGGACATGATGGGTTGGAAAGAGTAGGACATGATGGGTTGGAAAGAGTAGGACATGATGGGTTGGAAAGAGTAGGACATGCTGGGTTGGAAAGAGTAGGACATGATGGGTTGGAAAGAGTAGGACATGATGGGTTGGAAAGAGTAGGACATGATGGGTTGGAAAGAGTAGGACATGATGGGTTGGAAAGAGTAGGACATGATGGGTTGGAAAGAGTAGGACATGATGGGTTGGAAAGAGTAGGACATGATGGGTTGGAAAGAGTAGGACATGATGGGTTGGAAAGAGTAGGACATGATGGGTTGGAAAGAGTTAGGACATGATGGGTTGGAAAGAGTAGGACATGCTGGGTTGGAAAGAGTAGGACATGATGGGTTGGAAAGAGTAGGACATGATGGGTTGGAAAGAGTAGGACATGATGGGTTGGAAAGAGTAGGACATGATGGGTTGGAAAAGAGTAGGACATGATGGGTTGGAAAGAGTAGGACATGATGGGTTGGAAAGAGTAGGACATGATGGGTTGGAAAGAGTAGGACATGCTGGGTTGGAAAGAGTAGGACATGCTGGGTTGGAAAGAGTAGGACATGCTGGGTTGGAAAGAGTAGGACATGCTGGGTTGGAAAGAGTAGGACATGCTGGGTTGGAAAGAGTAGGACATGCTGGGTTGGAAAGAGTAGGACATGATGGGTTGGAAAGAGTAGGACATGATGGGTTGGAAAGGATAGGACATGATGGGTTGGAAAGAGTAGACATGATGGGTTGGAAAGAGTAGGACATGATGGGTTGGAAAGAGTAGGACATGATGGGTTGGAAAGAGTTAGGACATGATGGGTTGGAAGAGTAGGACATGATGGGTTGGAAAGGTGGACATGATGGGTTGGAAAAGAGTAGGACATGATGGGTTGGAAAGAGTAGGACATGATGGGTTGGAAAGAGTAGGACATGATGGTTGGAAAGAGTAGGACATGATGGGTTGGAAAGAGTAGGACATGATGGGTTGGAAAGAGTAGGACATGATGGGTTGGAAAGAGTAGGACATGATGGGTTGGAAAGAGTAGGACATGCTGGGTTGGAAAGAGTAGGACATGATGGGTTGGAAAGAGTAGGACATGATGGGTTGGAAAGAGTAGGACATGAGGACATGATGGGTTGGAAAGAGTAGGACATGATGGGTTGGAAAGAGTAGGACATGATGGGTTGGAAAGAGTAGGACATGATGGGTTGGAAAGAGTAGGACATGATGGGTTGGAAAGAGTAGGACATGATGGGTTGGAAAGAGTAGGACATGATGGGTTGGAAAGAGTAGGACATGATGGGTTGGAAAGAGTAGGACATGATGGGTTGGAAAGAGTAGGACATGATGGGTTGGAAAGAGTAGGACATGATGGGTTGGAAAGAGTAGGACATGATGGGTTGGAAAGAGTAGGACATGATGGGTTGGAAAGAGTAGGACATGATGGGTTGGAAAGAGTAGGACATGATGGGTTGGAAAGAGTAGGACATGATGGGTTGGAAAGAGTAGGACATGCTGGGTTGGAAAGAGTAGGACATGCTGGGTTGGAAAGAGTAGGACATGATGGGTTGGAAAGAGTAGGACATGATGGGTTGGAAAGAGTAGGACATGATGGGTTGGAAAGAGTAGGACATGATGGGTTGGAAAGAGTAGGACATGATGGGTTGGAAAGAGTAGGACATGATGGGTTGGAAAGAGTAGGACATGATGGGTTGGAAAGAGTAGGACATGATGGGTTGGAAAGAGTAGGACATGATGGGTTGGAAAGAGTAGGACATGATGGGTTGGAAAGAGTAGGACATGATGGGTTGGAAAGAGTAGGACATGATGGGTTGGAAAGAGTAGGACATGATGGGTTGGAAAGAGTAGGACATGATGGGTTGGAAAGAGTAGGACATGATGGGTTGGAAAGAGTAGGACATGATGGGTTGGAAGAGTAGGACATGATGGGTTGGAAAGAGTAGGACATGATGGGTTGGAAAGAGTAGGACATGATGGGTTGGAAAGAGTAGGACATGATGGGTTGGAAGGTAGGACTGATGGGTTGGAAAGAGTAGGACATGATGGGTTGGAAAGAGTAGGACATGATGGGTTGGAAAGAGTAGGACATGATGGGTTGGAAAGAGTAGGACATGATGGGTTGGAAAGAGTAGGACATGATGGGTTGGAAAGAGTAGGACATGATGGGTTGGAAAGAGTAGGACATGATGGGTTGGAAAGAGTAGGACATGATGGGTTGGAAAGAGTAGGACATGATGGGTTGGAAAGAGTAGGACATGATGGGTTGGAAAGAGTAGGACATGATGGGTTGGAAAGAGTAGGACATGATGGGTTGGAAAGAGTAGGACATGATGGGTTGGAAAGAGTAGGACATGATGGGTTGGAAAGAGTAGGACATGATGGGTTGGAAAGAGTAGGACATGATGGGTTGGAAAGAGTAGGACATGATGGGTTGGAAAGAGTAGGACATGATGGGTTGGAAAGAGTAGGACATGATGGGTTGGAAAGAGTAGGACATGATGGGTTGGAAAGAGTAGGACATGATGGGTTGGAAAGAGTAGGACATGATGGGTTGGAAAGAGTAGGACATGATGGGTTGGAAAGAGTAGGACTGATGGTTGGAAAGAGTAGGACATGCTGGGTTGGAAAGAGTAGGACATGCTGGGTTGGAAAGAGTAGGACATGATGGGTTGGAAAGAGTAGGACATGATGGGTTGGAAAGAGTAGGACATGATGGGTTGGAAAGAGTAGGACATGATGGGTTGGAAAGAGTAGGACATGATGGGTTGGAAAGAGTAGGACATGATGGGTTGGAAAGAGTAGGACATGATGGGTTGGAAAGAGTAGGACATGATGGGTTGGAAAGAGTAGGACATGCTGGTTGGAAAGAGTAGGACATGATGGGTTGGAAAGAGTAGGACATGATGGGTTGGAAAGAGTAGGACATGATGGGTTGGAAAGAGTAGGACATGATGGGTTGGAAAGAGTAGGACATGATGGGTTGGAAAGAGTAGGACATGATGGGTTGGAAAGAGTAGGACATGATGGGTTGGAAAGAGTAGGACATGATGGGTTGGAAAGGAGTAGGACATGATGGGTTGGAAAGAGTAGGACATGATGGGTTGGAAAGAGTAGGACATGATGGGTTGGAAAGAGTAGGACATGATGGGTTGGAAAGAGTAGGACATGATGGGTTGGAAAGAGTAGGACATGATGGGTTGGAAAGAGTAGGACATGCTGGGTGGAAAGAGTAGGACATGATGGCGTTGGAAAGAGTAGGACATGATGGGTTGAAAGAGTAGGACATGATGGGTTGGAAAGAGTAGGACATGATGGGTTGGAAAGAGTAGGACATGATGGGTTGGAAAGAGTAGGACATGATGGGTTGGAAAGAGTAGGACATGATGGGTTGGAAAGAGTAGGACATGATGGGTTGGAAAGAGTAGGACATGATGGGTTGGAAAGAGTAGGACATGATGGGTTGGAAAGAGTAGGACATGATGGGTTGGAAAGAGTAGGACATGATGGGTTGGAAAGAGTAGGACATGATGGGTTGGAAAGAGTAGGACATGATGGGTTGGAAAGAGTAGGACATGATGGGTTGGAAAGAGTAGGACATGATGGGTTGGAAAGAGTAGGACATGATGGGTTGGAAAGAGTAGGACATGATGGGTTGGAAAGAGTAGGACATGATGGGTTGGAAAGAGTAGGACATGATGGGTTGGAAAGAGTAGGACATGATGGGTTGGAAAGAGTAGGACATGATGGGTTGGAAAGAGTAGGACATGATGGGTTGGAAAGAGTAGGACATGATGGGTTGGAAAGAGTAGGACATGATGGGTTGGAAAGAGTAGGACATGATGGGTTGGAAAGAGTAGGACATGATGGGTTGGAAAGAGTAGGACATGATGGGTTGGAAAGAGTAGGACATGATGGGTTGGAAAGAGTAGGACATGATGGGTTGGAAAGAGTAGGACATGATGGGTTGGAAAGAGTAGGACATGATGGGTTGGAAAGAGTAGGACATGATGGGTTGGAAAGAGTAGGACATGATGGGTTGGAAAGAGTAGGACATGATGGGTTGGAAAGAGTAGGACATGATGGGTTGGAAAGAGTAGGACATGATGGGTTGGAAAGAGTAGGACATGATGGGTTGGAAAGAGTAGGACATGATGGGTTGGAAAGAGTAGGACATGATGGGTTGGAAAGAGTAGGACATGCTGGGTTGGAAAGAGTAGGACATGATGGGTTGGAAAGAGTAGGACATGATGGGTTGGAAAGAGTAGGACATGATGGGTTGGAAAGAGTAGGACATGATGGGTTGGAAAGAGTAGGACATGATGGGTTGGAAAGAGTAGGACATGATGGGTTGGAAAGAGTAGGACATGATGGGTTGGAAAGAGTAGGACATGATGGGTTGGAAAGAGTAGGACATGATGGGTTGGAAAGAGTAGGACATGATGGGTTGGAAAGAGTAGGACATGATGGGTTGGAAAGAGTAGGACATGATGGGTTGGAAAGAGTAGGACATGATGGGTTGGAAAGAGTAGGACATGATGGGTTGGAAAGAGTAGGACATGATGGGTTGGAAAGAGTAGGACATGATGGGTTGGAAAGAGTAGGACATGATGGGTTGGAAAGAGTAGGACATGATGGGTTGGAAAGAGTAGGACATGATGGGTTGGAAAGAGTAGGACATGATGGGTTGGAAAGAGTAGGACATGATGGGTTGGAAAGAGTAGGACATGATGGGTTGGAAAGAGTAGGACATGATGGGTTGGAAAGAGTAGGACATGATGGGTTGGAAAGAGTAGGACATGATGGGTTGGAAAGAGTAGGACATGATGGGTTGGAAAGAGTAGGACATGATGGGTTGGAAAGAGTAGGACATGATGGGTTGGAAAGAGTAGGACATGATGGGTTGGAAAGAGTAGGACATGATGGGTTGGAAAGAGTAGGACATGATGGGTTGGAAAGAGTAGGACATGATGGGTTGGAAAGAGTAGGACATGATGGGTTGGAAAGAGTAGGACATGATGGGTTGGAAAGAGTAGGACATGATGGGTTGGAAAGAGTAGGACATGATGGGTTGGAAAGAGTAGGACATGATGGGTTGGAAAGAGTAGGACATGATGGGTTGGAAAGAGTAGGACATGATGGGTTGGAAAGAGTAGGACATGATGGGTTGGAAAGAGTAGGACATGATGGGTTGGAAAGAGTAGGACATGATGGGTTGGAAAGAGTAGGACATGATGGGTTGGAAAGAGTAGGACATGATGGGTTGGAAAGAGTAGGACATGATGGGTTGGAAAGAGTAGGACATGATGGGTTGGAAAGAGTAGGACATGATGGGTTGGAAAGAGTAGGACATGATGGGTTGGAAAGAGTAGGACATGCTGGGTTGGAAAGAGTAGGACATGATGGGTTGGAAAGAGTAGGACATGATGGGTTGGAAAGAGTAGGACATGATGGGTTGGAAAGAGTAGGACATGATGGGTTGGAAAGAGTAGGACATGATGGGTTGGAAAGAGTAGGACATGATGGGTTGGAAAGAGTAGGACATGATGGGTTGGAAAGAGTAGGACATGATGGGTTGGAAAGAGTAGGACATGATGGGTTGGAAAGAGTAGGACATGATGGGTTGGAAAGAGTAGGACATGATGGGTTGGAAAGAGTAGGACATGATGGGTTGGAAAGAGTAGGACATGATGGGTTGGAAAGAGTAGGACATGATGGGTTGGAAAGAGTAGGACATGATGGGTTGGAAAGAGTAGGACATGATGGGTTGGAAAGAGTAGGACATGATGGGTTGGAAAGAGTAGGACATGATGGGTTGGAAAGAGTAGGACATGATGGGTTGGAAAGAGTAGGACATGCTGGGTTGGAAAGAGTAGGACATGATGGGTTGGAAAGAGTAGGACATGATGGGTTGGAAAGAGTAGGACATGATGGGTTGGAAAGAGTAGGACATGATGGGTTGGAAAGAGTAGGACATGATGGGTTGGAAAGAGTAGGACATGATGGGTTGGAAAGAGTAGGACATGATGGGTTGGAAAGAGTAGGACATGATGGGTTGGAAAGAGTAGGACATGATGGGTTGGAAAGAGTAGGACATGATGGGTTGGAAAGAGTAGGACATGATGGGTTGGAAAGAGTAGGACATGCTGGGTTGGAAAGAGTAGGACATGCTGGGTTGGAAAGAGTAGGACATGCTGGGTTGGAAAGAGTAGGACATGATGGGTTGGAAAGAGTAGGACATGATGGGTTGGAAAGAGTAGGACATGATGGGTTGGAAAGAGTAGGACATGATGGGTTGGAAAGAGTAGGACATGATGGGTTGGAAAGAGTAGGACATGATGGGTTGGAAAGAGTAGGACATGATGGGTTGGAAAGAGTAGGACATGATGGGTTGGAAAGAGTAGGACATGATGGGTTGGAAAGAGTAGGACATGATGGGTTGGAAAGAGTAGGACATGATGGGTTGGAAAGAGTAGGACATGATGGGTTGGAAAGAGTAGGACATGATGGGTTGGAAAGAGTAGGACATGATGGGTTGGAAAGAGTAGGACATGATGGGTTGGAAAGAGTAGGACATGATGGGTTGGAAAGAGTAGGACATGATGGGTTGGAAAGAGTAGGACATGATGGGTTGGAAAGAGTAGGACATGATGGGTTGGAAAGAGTAGGACATGCTGGGTTGGAAAGAGTAGGACATGATGGGTTGGAAAGAGTAGGACATGATGGGTTGGAAAGAGTAGGACATGATGGGTTGGAAAGAGTAGGACATGATGGGTTGGAAAGAGTAGGACATGATGGGTTGGAAAGAGTAGGACATGATGGGTTGGAAAGAGTAGGACATGATGGGTTGGAAAGAGTAGGACATGATGGGTTGGAAAGAGTAGGACATGATGGGTTGGAAAGAGTAGGACATGATGGGTTGGAAAGAGTAGGACATGATGGGTTGGAAAGAGTAGGACATGATGGGTTGGAAAGAGTAGGACATGATGGGTTGGAAAGAGTAGGACATGATGGGTTGGAAAGAGTAGGACATGATGGGTTGGAAAGAGTAGGACATGATGGGTTGGAAAGAGTAGGACATGATGGGTTGGAAAGAGTAGGACATGATGGGTTGGAAAGAGTAGGACATGATGGGTTGGAAAGAGTAGGACATGATGGGTTGGAAAGAGTAGGACATGATGGGTTGGAAAGAGTAGGACATGATGGGTTGGAAAGAGTAGGACATGATGGGTTGGAAAGAGTAGGACATGATGGGTTGGAAAGAGTAGGACATGATGGGTTGGAAAGAGTAGGACATGATGGGTTGGAAAGAGTAGGACATGATGGGTTGGAAAGAGTAGGACATGATGGGTTGGAAAGAGTAGGACATGATGGGTTGGAAAGAGTAGGACATGATGGGTTGGAAAGAGTAGGACATGATGGGTTGGAAAGAGTAGGACATGATGGGTTGGAAAGAGTAGGACATGATGGGTTGGAAAGAGTAGGACATGATGGGTTGGAAAGAGTAGGACATGATGGGTTGGAAAGAGTAGGACATGATGGGTTGGAAAGAGTAGGACATGATGGGTTGGAAAGAGTAGGACATGATGGGTTGGAAAGAGTAGGACATGATGGGTTGGAAAGAGTAGGACATGATGGGTTGGAAAGAGTAGGACATGATGGGTTGGAAAGAGTAGGACATGATGGGTTGGAAAGAGTAGGACATGATGGGTTGGAAAGAGTAGGACATGATGGGTTGGAAAGAGTAGGACATGATGGGTTGGAAAGAGTAGGACATGATGGGTTGGAAAGAGTAGGACATGATGGGTTGGAAAGAGTAGGACATGATGGGTTGGAAAGAGTAGGACATGATGGGTTGGAAAGAGTAGGACATGATGGGTTGGAAAGAGTAGGACATGATGGGTTGGAAAGAGTAGGACATGATGGGTTGGAAAGAGTAGGACATGATGGGTTGGAAAGAGTAGGACATGATGGGTTGGAAAGAGTAGGACATGATGGGTTGGAAAGAGTAGGACATGATGGGTTGGAAAGAGTAGGACATGATGGGTTGGAAAGAGTAGGACATGATGGGTTGGAAAGAGTAGGACATGATGGGTTGGAAAGAGTAGGACATGATGGGTTGGAAAGAGTAGGACATGATGGGTTGGAAAGAGTAGGACATGATGGGTTGGAAAGAGTAGGACATGATGGGTTGGAAAGAGTAGGACATGATGGGTTGGAAAGAGTAGGACATGATGGGTTGGAAAGAGTAGGACATGATGGGTTGGAAAGAGTAGGACATGATGGGTTGGAAAGAGTAGGACATGATGGGTTGGAAAGAGTAGGACATGATGGGTTGGAAAGAGTAGGACATGATGGGTTGGAAAGAGTAGGACATGATGGGTTGGAAAGAGTAGGACATGATGGGTTGGAAAGAGTAGGACATGATGGGTTGGAAAGAGTAGGACATGATGGGTTGGAAAGAGTAGGACATGATGGGTTGGAAAGAGTAGGACATGATGGGTTGGAAAGAGTAGGACATGATGGGTTGGAAAGAGTAGGACATGATGGGTTGGAAAGAGTAGGACATGATGGGTTGGAAAGAGTAGGACATGATGGGTTGGAAAGAGTAGGACATGATGGGTTGGAAAGAGTAGGACATGATGGGTTGGAAAGAGTAGGACATGATGGGTTGGAAAGAGTAGGACATGATGGGTTGGAAAGAGTAGGACATGATGGGTTGGAAAGAGTAGGACATGATGGGTTGGAAAGAGTAGGACATGATGGGTTGGAAAGAGTAGGACATGATGGGTTGGAAAGAGTAGGACATGATGGGTTGGAAAGAGTAGGACATGATGGGTTGGAAAGAGTAGGACATGATGGGTTGGAAAGAGTAGGACATGATGGGTTGGAAAGAGTAGGACATGATGGGTTGGAAAGAGTAGGACATGATGGGTTGGAAAGAGTAGGACATGATGGGTTGGAAAGAGTAGGACATGATGGGTTGGAAAGAGTAGGACATGATGGGTTGGAAAGAGTAGGACATGATGGGTTGGAAAGAGTAGGACATGATGGGTTGGAAAGAGTAGGACATGATGGGTTGGAAAGAGTAGGACATGATGGGTTGGAAAGAGTAGGACATGATGGGTTGGAAAGAGTAGGACATGATGGGTTGGAAAGAGTAGGACATGATGGGTTGGAAAGAGTAGGACATGATGGGTTGGAAAGAGTAGGACATGATGGGTTGGAAAGAGTAGGACATGATGGGTTGGAAAGAGTAGGACATGATGGGTTGGAAAGAGTAGGACATGATGGGTTGGAAAGAGTAGGACATGATGGGTTGGAAAGAGTAGGACATGATGGGTTGGAAAGAGTAGGACATGATGGGTTGGAAAGAGTAGGACATGATGGGTTGGAAAGAGTAGGACATGATGGGTTGGAAAGAGTAGGACATGATGGGTTGGAAAGAGTAGGACATGATGGGTTGGAAAGAGTAGGACATGATGGGTTGGAAAGAGTAGGACATGATGGGTTGGAAAGAGTAGGACATGATGGGTTGGAAAGAGTAGGACATGATGGGTTGGAAAGAGTAGGACATGATGGGTTGGAAAGAGTAGGACATGATGGGTTGGAAAGAGTAGGACATGATGGGTTGGAAAGAGTAGGACATGATGGGTTGGAAAGAGTAGGACATGATGGGTTGGAAAGAGTAGGACATGATGGGTTGGAAAGAGTAGGACATGATGGGTTGGAAAGAGTAGGACATGATGGGTTGGAAAGAGTAGGACATGATGGGTTGGAAAGAGTAGGACATGATGGGTTGGAAAGAGTAGGACATGATGGGTTGGAAAGAGTAGGACATGATGGGTTGGAAAGAGTAGGACATGATGGGTTGGAAAGAGTAGGACATGATGGGTTGGAAAGAGTAGGACATGATGGGTTGGAAAGAGTAGGACATGATGGGTTGGAAAGAGTAGGACATGATGGGTTGGAAAGAGTAGGACATGATGGGTTGGAAAGAGTAGGACATGATGGGTTGGAAAGAGTAGGACATGATGGGTTGGAAAGAGTAGGACATGATGGGTTGGAAAGAGTAGGACATGATGGGTTGGAAAGAGTAGGACATGATGGGTTGGAAAGAGTAGGACATGATGGGTTGGAAAGAGTAGGACATGATGGGTTGGAAAGAGTAGGACATGATGGGTTGGAAAGAGTAGGACATGATGGGTTGGAAAGAGTAGGACATGATGGGTTGGAAAGAGTAGGACATGATGGGTTGGAAAGAGTAGGACATGATGGGTTGGAAAGAGTAGGACATGATGGGTTGGAAAGAGTAGGACATGATGGGTTGGAAAGAGTAGGACATGATGGGTTGGAAAGAGTAGGACATGATGGGTTGGAAAGAGTAGGACATGATGGGTTGGAAAGAGTAGGACATGATGGGTTGGAAAGAGTAGGACATGATGGGTTGGAAAGAGTAGGACATGATGGGTTGGAAAGAGTAGGACATGATGGGTTGGAAAGAGTAGGACATGATGGGTTGGAAAGAGTAGGACATGATGGGTTGGAAAGAGTAGGACATGATGGGTTGGAAAGAGTAGGACATGATGGGTTGGAAAGAGTAGGACATGATGGGTTGGAAAGAGTAGGACATGATGGGTTGGAAAGAGTAGGACATGATGGGTTGGAAAGAGTAGGACATGATGGGTTGGAAAGAGTAGGACATGATGGGTTGGAAAGAGTAGGACATGATGGGTTGGAAAGAGTAGGACATGATGGGTTGGAAAGAGTAGGACATGATGGGTTGGAAAGAGTAGGACATGATGGGTTGGAAAGAGTAGGACATGATGGGTTGGAAAGAGTAGGACATGATGGGTTGGAAAGAGTAGGACATGATGGGTTGGAAAGAGTAGGACATGATGGGTTGGAAAGAGTAGGACATGATGGGTTGGAAAGAGTAGGACATGATGGGTTGGAAAGAGTAGGACATGATGGGTTGGAAAGAGTAGGACATGATGGGTTGGAAAGAGTAGGACATGATGGGTTGGAAAGAGTAGGACATGATGGGTTGGAAAGAGTAGGACATGATGGGTTGGAAAGAGTAGGACATGATGGGTTGGAAAGAGTAGGACATGATGGGTTGGAAAGAGTAGGACATGATGGGTTGGAAAGAGTAGGACATGATGGGTTGGAAAGAGTAGGACATGATGGGTTGGAAAGAGTAGGACATGATGGGTTGGAAAGAGTAGGACATGATGGGTTGGAAAGAGTAGGACATGATGGGTTGGAAAGAGTAGGACATGATGGGTTGGAAAGAGTAGGACATGATGGGTTGGAAAGAGTAGGACATGATGGGTTGGAAAGAGTAGGACATGATGGGTTGGAAAGAGTAGGACATGATGGGTTGGAAAGAGTAGGACATGCTGGGTTGGAAAGAGTAGGACATGATGGGTTGGAAAGAGTAGGACATGATGGGTTGGAAAGAGTAGGACATGATGGGTTGGAAAGAGTAGGACATGATGGGTTGGAAAGAGTAGGACATGATGGGTTGGAAAGAGTAGGACATGCCATGCCTCCCAGGTGCCCACTCTCATCGGGCTTTTCTCTAGCACTGCAGCTCTTCCAAGCCATGATTTACGACGACCCGTGAATGTGCCAAGGGTGGACTCTTGCAAAGAGAACAACAGGCCCTTATTTCGCATGCATTTGTTCTACAGGCTCAACCACACATGCCCCTTATTTATTTCTACCCCCCCTCTTCTTTCCTCTTTTCTACCCCCCCCTTTTCTTTCCCCCTTTCTTCCCCCTTTTATTTCCCCCCTCTTCTTTGCCCTTTTATTCCCTTCTCCTCAGCCCCCCCACACCATTCCTTCCACTCCCACCTCACCTCTTCAAAAGGCATGGACTCGTTGTATTGCAGGCAGTAGTCAGACGGGCACGGCCAATCGGGTCGCGACACGTCAGAGCCCGGCCAGAACACAGTCGCCGCCCGCAAGCCCTGCGTAAGTTAAAACCAGAAAAGCAAGTCAACGGCCGAAAAGGGAAAAGGGAAAGGGGGGAGAAAAGGGAAGGGGGAAGGAGAGGGGGGAAGGCGAAGGGGAAAGGGGAAGAGGGGGACAAGGGAGAAGGGGGAAGGGGAGAATGGGGGAACAGGGAAAGCAGGGGAAGAGGGGAAGAGGGGAGGCGAAAGGGGAAAAGGGGGAAGGGGGGAAGGGAGAAAAGGGGAAGGGAGAAAGGGGTGAGGTGGGGAAAGGAAGGAAAAAGGGAAGGGGAGAAGCAGAGAGGGGAAGGGGACAATGGGGGAGGGGGAGAATGGGAGAAGGGGGGAATGGGGAAACGGGGGAAGAAGGGACGGGGAGGAATGGGGGAAGGGGGGAACGGGGGGGAGAGGGGAGAAGGGAGGAATGGGGAACAGAGCAGGAGGAATATCACATGCGCCATAACAAACAATGGTGCCGTTTTCAACCACATTGTTGGTAACTGGTAACCATCTCTGCCGAAGGTCCCTTTGCCCTCCCACCCCCCTCACCTGCTTTGGATCAATGCTCCCTGGTGTGAACACGTTGCTGTGCTTGGCGGGTGGTTGGCGGGTGGTTGGCGGGTGGTTGGTGGTGGGTAGTGAGAAGAGTTGGCAACTAGGTTGGCGGGTGGTTGGCGGGTAGCGAGAAGTGTTGGCAACTAGGTTGGCGGGTGGTTGGCGGGTAGCGAGAAGAGTTGGCAACTAGGTTGGCGGGTGGTTGGCGGGTAGCGAGAAGAGTTGGCAACTTGGTTGGCGGGTGGTTGGCGGGTAGAGAGAAGAGTTTTGAGACGTCTCAAAACACGTTGCTGTGGTTGGCGGGTAGCGAGAAGAGTTGGCAACTATGCCCCACACCCCTTACCTTCCTCCCTCCTGTTCCTCCCTCCTCCCCCCTCACCCCACCTTCCTTCACCACCCCACCTGCTGCCGGTTCACAGTGCCCTGAATCGGTTCGCCCAGCCACCAGTTGGGGTCAATGTTTCCAGGAAGGAACACGTCGCTGTGGTTGGTAGAGTTGCTCTTGAGAATTCTCAAAAGCAACATCAATGTTTCCAGGAGAGAACACATCGCTGTGGTGGTTTTTGAGGCGCCTCAAAAAGTGGTAGGTAGAGTTGCGGAACTTGTTGGCCAGCCAGGATGCCCCACACCCCTAATCTTCCTCCCTCCTGTTTCATCCCCCTTCCCCGCCCGCTCCCCCGACCCCTCACCTGGCGGTTCACAGTGGTCCAGATGGGTTCGCCCAGCCACCATCTGGGTTCCACATTCCCGGGCGAGAACACGTCGCTGTGGTTGGAGGGGAGGCGGAACTTGTTGGCGATGATGCCATGCGATGCGGGGAGGAGGCCGGTTGCCATGGAATGGTGCGAGGGGAAGGTGAGCGAGGGGAAGACCGGCAGCATTCCATGCTCGGCAAAGGTACCTTCTGCAAGCATCCTGATGGGTGGTAGTGAGAGTGTTGCAGGGGAGGGAAGTAGTGCGAGGGGAAGGTGAGGGAGGGGAAGATGGGTAGAATACAATGCTCTGCAAAGGTGCCTTGTTCCAACATTCTGATGGGTGGTTAACACAGGGGAAGGACAGGAGGGGAGGAGGCTTGTGGCCATGGAGAAGTGTGAGGGGAAGGCGAGGAAGGGGAAGACTGGTAGCCCCAGCTCCTGATGCGGCGTGCACGCATCCTGCCACAGTTCCTTCGTACAGCATCCTGAAGGGAAGTTGTGATCAGAGAGGGTGCAGAAAGGGGTGAAGGGGACAAGGAAGGGGAGCGTTTGTGATCCCTTCTATTCCATCATCCTGATAGGAGTGGGAGGTTCGGGGTGTTAGGGTCATACTTGGAGCAAGAATAGGAGGTTTGGGGTTAAGGGTCGGTTTGGAAAAGGTATGGGAGATTTGGGAGGTTGTGATGAGGCAGGGTGCGGGGAGGGGTGGCGGGGACAGCGAAGGAGAGTGTTCTACCAGCATTCTGATGGGAGGTTGGATAGGGTGGTGGAGTGGGGGGAGTGAGGGAAGGAAGCGTGGGAGGGAAGCGCGTGTGGTTGCACAATAGCGAGAAGGCTGCAGCGTTTTGTATCGTGCTCAATGAAACGGCGCGAAGGTAGGATAGGAACCTCGATGCCTGCCTTCCCACACCTGTTTACCCTTTCAGATGAAGGGTCGGAAACGTGATTAGGGTGGGTGGGTGGCCTTAACGTTAAGGCCGACCCTTCATCTGAAATGTCGAAACCCACCCTAGGACGACACGAGGATCACGGACGGCCGCCATCCCCATGCCTGCCCCCCACACTGGCCGTTGATGGGTTCAGTTCAGACATGGGTAGTACCTACCTGTTGGATCTAAGATGGTACCCGTGTCTGAAACGAACCCATCAAGATCACGGTCGACTGCCCAACCTGTGCCTGTGCTCTCAAACCCTATCTCCCACACCCCCCTCCTGCCTAGTGAGATGGGGGGTGTCAGCCTTGGGGTGGTACCCGTGTCTGAACCCACGACACGAGAATCACCGTGGGCTGCCCTACCCCATGCCTGCGCCCCACACTTGGCCCCCACAGATGCCCCCCACACTTGCCTACCTGTTCAGATTCGGTGTGTCGGCCTTCAGGTGGTACCAGTGTCTGAACCCATCGAAGGACACGAGGATCACCTGGAGCTGCCCTGCCCTCCCATGGCTGCCTGCCCATGCTTTCCCCTTACACCCTTGCTTCCTTACCTGTTCAAATTCGGTGTGTCGGCTTTGAGATGGTACCCGTGCCTGAACCCATCAAAGGACACGAGGATCACCATGGGCTGCCCTCCCAGCGCGCCTGTGGGGGACGGCGGAGGTCCCCCGCCCCCATCAAACGCGGAGCAGGAGGTGTGCGAGTGCGACGTGAGGAAGATGGCGAGAGCGAACCCCAGGACGACTGGAGGAATGGGTGGAGAGCGATGGGATGGGATGGGAGAGTGGTAAGGAATGGTTGGGTGGCTTCCTGCTAGGTCGATTGCGGAGGGAACGTGCGGAAGATGGTGCGGGCGAGCCTCAGGACGACTGGAGGAAGGGGTGGGATGGGAGAGGAGGGAAAGGGGTTGAGGGGCAGGGGTCGAGGAAAACGGGGGAGGACCTCGTTCCTGTGCTAAACGCGGCGGAGCAGGAGGCGCGGGTGTGAGATGTTAGGACGATGGCGAGGGCGAACGCCAGGACGACTGGCGGGATGGGATGGGATGGGATGGGATGGGATGGGATGGAATGGGATGGGATGGGATGGGATGGGATGGGATGGGATGGGATGGGATGGGATGGGATAGGATGGAGGGTGGGATGGGATATGATGGAATGGGTGGGATGGGATAGGATGGATAGGATGGGACGGAGAAGAGGGGAAGGGGTTGAGTGAGGGGTTATGGATGGAGTGAAGGGTTTCACCCTCCGTAAAGATGTAAAGTGGTCGAATGTGAGGGGGCGAGGACGAATCCCAGCATGACTAGGGGGAGGGGTGGGATGGGGTGAAACGGGATGGGATGGGATGGGATGGGATGGGATGAAATGGAATGGGACGGAAGCAGAGGGGAAGGAGGTGAGGGGCACGGGGACGGATTAAGGTCGGAGGACCGGTGGCACGACGTGTGGAAGGGAGGGGGGTGCGGATGAGAGGAGGGGGATGCGGGTGAGGGTAGGGGGATGGTTGATTGGGATGGAGGGGGCGGCTGGATCATCCGAAGCGACGAGCCGACCTGGGTTAGGGTCATAAGAGAATATTCTAAGCATTCTGAGCAGGGTGGCCGGAGTAGCTTGTGCGCGAGGGAGCTTTTCACGGCATCATGGTCGCACCTTGGTTAGGGGACTTTGGAAGGGTAGGCTGAGCAGGATGAGCAGGCTGAGCAGCCTGCGGAGGCTGGGTGGCAAAAAGCTGACCTGAGAAGAACGCGATCGCCATGACCATTGCTGCGAACGTCCCCAGCCGTCCCGATAGGATCGAGCGGCGAGGCTGTTTATGGCGGTGTCCGACGTACACGTCATCCCCCACGCTTTCCACGTCATCGTCGCTGCCACTGCAGTCGCCATCGGCCTCCCGCTTCTCCTCGCTTCGAATCAAGCTGTGTTCTACTGAATTGGGGGACGGGCTGGATCCCGTTAATCCCGCCGGGATTTGCGCTTTGCCTAGCATAGCTAGCTGCTCGGAACTTCTCGGTTTGGACATATTATTTAGGTATTATACAACGAACGCGTATAAAAACAGATGCTAGTATAACATGCAGTTAACTGTTCTTTCACAATGACTCGCAGATGCGATGGTCTCTGTGAGTTTCGAGACGTCCCGAAACCGTTGTGACAGCTATAGTCTCATTGACGTTATATTTTACAGCTGCACGGGAGACAAGCTCGAAGAAGCCTTTGAAACGATTCTCGGAACTCGCAATCATCTACAAGTGCACGACGAGATGTGGAGATAACACTCCGAGACCTGCGCGAAAAAATGGATCCAGCACAGCTACAGGCCGCAGCATTGCACAAGTGAAAGAGAGACCAACCAAGAATTGAGGGGCCAAGTTAGCCGAGTTGCTGTAGCCAATCAGGTCAAAGAGAATCCGAAGTTTCATTCAGGGGACGGTGTTACCCTCGTTTGCGACCTTGGGATCCCCAACAATGGCGAACACCATAGACGGATTCAACGAAGCTCGTAGACGAACGCCTGCCATATGTCACGAAAGCTGAAGCGAGCAAAAGCGATTTTCGTGATAAGAGGGACGTGCAACGACTGGGTGCAATGCAAAGTAACGCTGAGCATTTAGTCGCAGGGCCAGCAGAGCCACAGAAGTCACCTGAAGGCCGACCAGGGTGTTTCGGCGGAATACTTTTCCATCACTTTGCGAAAACGAAAGCACCCTGTCATTTTCTTCGCTAGAACCCCCTGGTGTAACAAAACTCTTCCTCTCTTTGACTCTTCTCCCCCCAAGAGCACTGCTTGGTCACTGTATACTGGTGGTTACATAAACAATCCACATATACACGTGCCCCACTTCAGATACGTGTCCTGGCATCACTGCTGTCATACCGACGCACTCACTATCGCGAATGTTTAATCCAGCAAGTAATTAGCAGATGATGCCGGCAGCTAAGAGCACTCCCTATCGGCGATCGCGACTCGGCCAGGAGGCATCTGATGTCAGCGCGCGACCGATTGCCGACGGCAGCAGCAAGAGCAAGAGCGCCAGAGCGAGGGACAGCGATGACACCGCGGCGAAGGTGGCGGAATACGAGCGATTCGTGGAGGAGCGGTTGAAAGTGGATTTACAGGCAGCGATGGAAGACAGGTGCGTGAGTGTGGGTATTATTGAGGCAGCTTGTAAAGGGGAACCGGTGGCGAAGGTAGCGGAGTACGAGTGGTTCGTGGAGGAGCGGTTGAAAGTGGATTTACAAGCAGCGATGGAAGATAGGTGCGTGTGTTACACTGAGACAGCTTGTAACGGGGATATGGGGGCGGAGGTGGCGGAGTACGAGCGGTTCGTGGAGGAGCGGCTGAAGGTCGATTTTCAGGCAGCGATGGAGGACAGGTGCGTGTGCGCGTGTTTGAAATGTATGACTGAGAAGGTAGGGAGGGAAGAAAAGGGGGGAGGAGGTGCTACGCAGCGAGGGAGCAAGTCGAATTTGACGAGCATCCTTGTATGACGCTGGAGGGAGCCTGCGTGCAGCGAGGTCATGATTTGCTCCTGATCTGCCTATACGCTGCTTGGTCGACTCCTGGGAGTCTGATTCGCTGGCTGGCCCTCGCCAAGTTCAGATGCCACCCCGCGTCTTTGGATCAGAGTTCGCATCAGAACGAGACTAGGCTACTTTGTGGGGGCATCCGTGTGTGATTGTGCTCCTATTCACGCTGAGACCTCGCGGGCCATTCATGTCTCCTTCTATGCCGATTCTGGTGCCTATGTGTGCTGTGACAATGCGTGTGGGTTTGTGAAGGCATGTGTGCTGTGACGTATGTGTGTGCGTGTGAGTGATCGTGTGCGTGTGAGAATGTGTGTGCGTGTTTGAGTGCTTGTACGTGTGTGTATATGTGTGTGTGTGTGTGTGTGTGTGTGTGTGTGTGTGCGTGCGCGTGCGGTGCGTGCGTGTGTGTGTGTGTGTGTGAGTGTGCGTGTGCGTGTGTGTGAGTGTGCGTGTGTGTGAGTGTGCGTGTGTGTGCGTGTGTGTGCCCGTGCGAGAGTGCATGGCGGTATCTGCAGGCACAAGGTCCAAGAAGAAATCCAAGTCTTGTACGCTCTTTCTTCCCCTCAAATCCTCTCGCCTCTCCTTGGAGTTGCAGGGCGTTTCAGAGAATTCTCAAGTACAATGCAAGTCTAGTGCGCTCTCGCTTCCCCTCCCCTCCCCGTTCCATCTACCCCCCCCCCCTTCTCCCCCACCCTCTCTTCTGCCCCCCCCTTTTCCACCGTTCCCTGCCTTGCCAGTTTTTTTTTTCCCTTTTTAGGGTTGCGTTGTCTACTGCATATACATCATAGCATCGCAAATTGTTTTTTCTAGACTGCCTCAAGCCCGATTCTTGCATTTTTCGCACGTATTGCATTCCCATCTATTGTCCCATCATACTCGATTCGATCTCAGTACTTCCTTCATTCATCCAAGAAGTGTGCTATCCCTGTCACACACAACACATAATCCATTCAGCCTGAGTCATCACACATGATCATTTATCCTCGTTACAGTGAGGAGTTGGTGCGCAATATCGAAGCCCTGGAGGAGAATGGAGTGGAGGAGATGAGAGCCATGGTCAACCTGGGAGGAGAGGTGTTTATGCAGGCAGACGTGTGAGTGGGTGGGTGTGTGGGTGGCGGGGGTAGGTGTATAGCTGGGTTGGGAGGTGTAGGGCTGTTTTCAGGGAATTGAGGAGATGGGGGAAATTATCAACCTGGGAGGAGAGGTGTTTGTGCAGGCTGACGTGTGAGTGGAGGGGAGTGTGGGGAGTGAGATGCATGCAGTGCTGATGGGATGAGATGAGTGCAGTGCTGGTTCCAGCGAGTGGAGGAGATGAGGAGGGTGAACCCTGTTGACTTCTATTGACTCCCATTGACCACGGGCCGGAAACGTCACACATAGGCGTGTCAGTGGGGCTGGGCTTCCACATGAAGTCCAATTCGTTTGACTCAAAAAAAATCTATTGACCCTGTTGATTTTTGAGGTGCCTTAAATATATATATATATTGACCCTGTTGAGTCTGGTGACTCTTGCAGGCCAGACACGTCACACATATTCGTGTCAGTGGGGCTGGGCTTCCATGTGGAGTTCACCCGCCCTGACTCTGAAGATGCTGTTGACTCTGTTGACCCTGTTAACCCTGTTGACTCCCGATGACTCCCATTCACTCCAGCCCGGACACGTCACACATATTCGTGTCAGTGGGGCTGGGCTTCCATGTGGAGTGGAGTTCACCCGCCTTGTCTCTGAAGATGCTGTTGACTCTGTTGACCCTGTTGACTCCCATTGACCGCAGGCCCGACACGTCACACATATTCGTGTCGGTGGGGCTGGGCTTCCACGTGGAGTTCACCCGCCTTGAAGCCAAGGAATTTGCCGCCTCCAAGATCGAGCACTTGAGAAAGTGAGTGGCAATGATGGTGCTTCACGCAGCAACGGGACGTGATGTATCATGAGTTATGACAAGCGTACTATTTTGTTCTGTCATGTTGTTCAATTCTGCCCTTTTTTTTTTACCCTTCTAACAACCCTCCTTTCATGTATGTAGGTTTTCATCCGCCCCCACCCCCCACCCCCCATCCTCTTCCCACTTCATACTCGAGCACCCAAACCCCATCGCCCATAGTGGAAAGAACTAGAAACCCCCTGCCATCCCCCTCCCCAGTTACTCAGTTCCCCTCCCCATACCCGTTCCTCACTTAACTAGTCAAAGATCCCCAATTTTGCATGGTGATTATGTGCATGCAGGCAAGTTGCACGGCACACAGAGAGAATATCATCCATTAAAGCCCACATCAAGCTGGTGAGCACAGGGTGGCTGTTGATGAACAAACGTGAGGTCCCGGGGAGTCCTCCCTTTGGGTGAGGTCCCGGGGTGTCCTCCCTTGGGTGAGGTCCCGGGGTGTCCTCCCTTGGGTGAGGTCCCGGGGTGTCCTCCCTTTGGGTGAGGTCCCGGGGTGTCCTCCCTTGGGTGAGGTCCCGGGGTGTCCTCCCTTGGGTGAGGTCCCGGGGTGTCCTCCCTTTGGGTGAGGTCCCGGGGTGTCCTCCCTTGGGTGAGGTCCCGGGGTGTCCTCCCTTGGGTGAGGTCCCGGGGTGTCCTCCCTTGGGTGAGGTCCCGGGGTGTCCTCCCTTGGGTGAGGTCCCGGGGTGTCCTCCCTTGGGTGAGGTCCCGGGGTGTCCTCCCTTGGGTGAGGTCCCGGGGTGTCCTCCCTTGGGTGAGGTCCTGGGGGGTCCTCCCTTGGGTGAGGTCCCGGGGTGTCCTCCCTTGGGTGAGGTCCCGGGGTGTCCTCCCTTGGGTGAGGTCCCGGGGTGTCCTCCCTTGGGTGACGTCCCGGGGGGTCCTCGCTGCGTTCATTCTTTATTGTGATTCGTCTCCTCTTGGCGTTTCGTCTCTTGTGGCATTTCGTTTCAAGTCTTTCTGATGTTTCAAGTCTTTCTGATGTTTCAAGTCTTTCTGACGTTTCATCTTTTTCCTGCTCATGGTTGTGGGCAGGTGGTTGAAGGCGTTCGAGAGCTTCTCAACATATCAGCTGAAGATTCGTGAATCGTGACCACCAGACCAGATGACGTACGGTAGTAGTTCCTTGGTATTCTCAAGTATAGACCACCAGGTGACTTCGAGACGCATCAGAAGCTGATCTGCTCACCATACGGTATCAGCTGACAAATCATCATGGTCATCAGCCATGTTGACTAGACAGGCAGCAGTTTGGGTTGAAAGAATTCCAAGGCTTGGATTGGAGTAAGGAGTTGGGGGGGTTGGGTTGACTGAGAGATGCAGCTGGGATGACGGTGCATTGGTAGTGGGTGAATGGGTTATAATGGGGTGGTGGATGGATGTTCGAATGCAGCTTGCACTCTACTAGATTCTGCTGCACCTAAAATGCATCGGCGCAATAGCAACAAGGAATAGTTCATGCTCTGCATAGGAAAAGGGACATTACAGAGCCAGACAGACTCAAAATGAATGGTATTACTATGAAACAATACCTATGTTTGCAGTGAACACTACGGTAAGCTCATGCGTAGTGTATTCTGTTGAGATAATATCGAGACTTGTGCACTTCAAGGAATTCGAAATGGTAGAAATGGTAGAAATAATATTGAGTTACTTTGGTAGAAATGGTTAAGTCAAGCGATTTCTTCAAATCGGCTTCGATACGATCACCCAGCGAAGTCGACGAACTGACGTAGAGGATGTCGTCCGCGTAAGCCACTAACAACGCATAGCTCCCCTTGTCGTCTAGCGGTACATCCCGGGATCGTGCGGCAGTTGTCGAAACCCAACCTCCGTCAGCTTCCTGTTCAAATGCTGCTGCCACAGTCGCGATGCTTGTTTGATTCCGTACAGTGACTTTTTGAGCTTGCAGACACTTGGCGGATTTGTCGGATAGGTGTGCGGATATTCGACGTAGATTTCGGCATCGACGTCAGCGTACAGAAAGGCGTTGGAAACATCAATTTGTCGAAGTGGAAAATTCTTCGCGGCTGCTTCGCAGAGAACGAGTCGAACACTCGTATGTCGACTGACCGGGGCGAAGGTAAGCGTGTAGTCGATCCCATGAGTCTGATAAAAACCGCGAACCACCCACCGTGCTTTGTGTTTCTCGTAAGTACCATCCGCTTTCGTCTGCACCCTGAAGACCCACTTACCGGTAAGAACATTTTTGTTTACCGTTTTTTCAATAGGTATAAGATCCCAAGTTTCCCTTTTCTCCAGGGCAGCCAGTTCGCGGTCCATCGCTTCACGCCATTTTTCGCGATGAGGCCCTGAGAGAGCTTGTCGGGCAGTTTTCGGCTCCAAATTTAATGTAGAACTGTGCTGTACCGCTGCTGCGAGTCCCAGAATTTGCAGTCCGGTCTGATAATGCGGATTATCGTCGGTGCGACCTGCGAAATTGACAGAATCATTCTGGTCTCCACTTGCCCCCCCAATTTCGTCAGGGTTGACACGGATGCTGCTATCGGAAACCACCGGCATTGGTTGGCGCTGTTCATCCACGAGGTAAGTATGATGAACATCGCGAACATCCTCAGGTGCCGCGTCAGCAAGAGGAATAAACTCCGGAATTCCGGAGGACGTGACAGGGACAGGTGGGTCAGGAACTGCTTCACGTGCACCGTCGGGGTCAGGTTCTTCGCTGGGAAGCCGACCGACAAAATGTACCTCAGCGGTACGTTGACGCGGACCACGCTGGCGACACGTCAGATCGACGGTCACGCACGGGTTATATTTTTCGTCTCGAGCCGATTGGTCCGATCTCCTGGAATTCTTCGAAACAGGAACTCGTGTCACTTTCATCGGCTGAAGCAGAATTCATCGCCGCCTGTGCTGCAACTCGCGAAGGTCTGTACCTGCAGGAATTGCTTGACGAAGCAAAATTCGTCACGCCGAATCAGTTCACGTTGCAGTGCGACAACCAGAGTGCAATTACCATCGCCAACAAGCCTGGTTTCGTCAATCGCACGAAGCACATTTCGCTGCGTTACTTCTTCGTAAAAGACGCGATCGACAAGGGGAGAATGCGCCTTGTCTACTGCCCCACCAGCGACATGGCCGCTGATTCGCTTACTAAGAAGCTGACACGTCAGAAATTTCATCACTGCAATCAGCTCAGTGGCATTTCCGAGTCAACAGGGTGATTACATCGAACTCCTAGAAGTGAAGGGGAGTGTTGAGATAATATCGAGACTTGTGCACTTCAAGGAATTCGTGTAGTGTAGTTAGTACAGTAAAAGTACCGGTAGGCTGACGTCAGCAAAGCGCTACGCGCTCTAGGATGACGTCAGCAGTAGCTGTAGGTATCACGAATAGTCTCGTACCGTTTCAGGCTAAAAGGTACATTAGGCAAATAGGTACTTTATCCTAGTATATATTCTGCATGTTTGTCATTTCTTAATATACTTGATTTCAGAGATATTGATCCTGTTACAAGTCACTCATATAAAGACTTCCACTGCTACAGGAAGCTACTATCCTAAGACTACGATCCTATTCAGACAGCTTAAATTCTAACATATTCAATATCTGCACTACACCTCGAATTATCCTATAATAGTAAGTTAGCAAACTCGAATGTTCTTTTTGTAACGAAAAAGGAGATTGTTGAGTTGGTTCGGAAGCTGATGGTTGTTCAAGAGGCATGGCACACCGGAGTCATAAGCTTTGTGATTGCATCGTTTTTTAAGCGCCTGCCTGTCAAATCGTTGTCATGATGTGACCTGCTGCATGAGCGACACAGTTGTTGCTTTCGACAGCCCCATTACAGCATCGATGCCCCCCACCTGGAGAAACAGCATGGGGAATGATTGACAGACCGCGGAAACAGCACGGGTAGGAAAAGAGCATCGAAGCTGAAAGAAAAGGCGAGGAAAAGGGCTCGGGGTTGGACAAACAAACAAAACAAAACCTCAGACAAGTTTTGGTTGCATCTAGTTTTGGAATTGAGACGTCTCAAAACTAGTTTTGGTTGCATCTCAGCATCTCCTCTCATCACCCTCTTCATTCGTGCACCCATTCCTTAATCGTGTGACTCGTCTTAGAATGATTCTCCATTCCTCACCCGTTCACCTCTCCCCCCTCTCCTACCCCCTCCTTCCCCCCTCCCCCCTCCCTGTTCCCAACTGCCTTCTGCCCCCTCGTCCCGTCATCAGCTGCACAAGAGTGCTCCCATGGTCTGCCATTGCAATCCATCGCCCCTCTCTTCCCCTCACTCTGCTCACCATCTTCTCTACCAGCGGCACCACCAGGGAACGCGCCAACACCACCCCTCCGGCATGAGCCGTCCGTCACTCTCAAGTGCTTCCCAGACTCAGTGCTGCTCCTCTCCCATCTCCTCGCCACCACCCCCCCTCCCCTTCTCCCTCGCCCTTCTCTGCTTACCATCTTCTCTACCAGCGGCACCACCAGGGAACGCGCCAACATCAGCAATCCAGTCTGACGCATCACTCAAATGATCCCTAGACACACCATTGCACCTCTCCCATCTCCTCCTCCCCCATCTTCCCACTCCCCTCCCCTCTCCCTTTCCCCCCACCCAGCTCACCATCTTCTCCATCAGAGGCGCCACCAGGGGATGCTCAACCATGAGCCCTCCTGCATCACTCAAACGCTCCCTCCGCTCTCCTCTCTCCTCTCTCCTCTCTGCTCTGCTCCCTCCCCCCTCACTCGCCCCGCGCCCATCTCACCATCTTCTCCACCAGGGGCGCCACCAGGGGATGCTCAACCATCAGCCCTCCAGCGCAGTAGAAAATGTCGCCCTCTGCCACCTGGTGAGCATGTGGCACGGTGCAGAAAGATGCAGGGTGGTACAGTGAGGTGCGAGGTGCAGTGAAGTGGTGCAGCGGCGTAGGTGGAGGGGGGCGACATGGCATGGCATGTCGAGCACGGGTCTTTTTCTCTTCATCAGCAGCGCCACCCGGCGCACTGAGAAAAGCCTCCCTTTGACAAGCAGGGTGATAGATCCAGAGCGGTGCAAAAGGGTGCACTGCAAAAGGGAGCGTTGCAGAGGCACTGAGCGGTTCAGTGAGTTTGGGAATCATTGGGGAACTGCTGCCTCTTTCTAATAGACCGCAGCAATGACACGTCTACTCACCACCTGGTCAAGCACCGAATCAGGAATGGGCCAGATGTGAACCTCTGCAACGTCTACTCCACTGCTGCCGCCTGCCACCCAACACCTCATCAAACTCATCCCTTTCGTCACACAATCAACCCGGACCCCTCTCGCATGTGACACACACTCCCACTCAGTGAGTGGCACTCACCAGCTGGTCGATCACAGAGTCAGGAAAGGCTCGAAAGTGAATCCCTGCAACGTCCACTGCTGCTGCCGCCTTTGTTCCAACAGCACCAGTCCCCTCCCACCACGCTTCCCACCATGTGACACACATACCCACTCACCAGCTGGTCGATCACAGAGTCAGGAATGGCCCGAAAGTGAACCTCTGCAACATCCACTGCTGCTGCCTGCTTGCCCGAGTTCAGATTCGTTACGAGAACTGCCCCTACAGTGCGGGCAGGTGCGCGCGAATAGCCTCGGATGAACTCCCGAGCCTCAGCTTCGGACAGGGGCTTCTCGAGAATCCGATCCTCATGCACCACCACCTGTGCAACGAATGAGGACATACATACATACATACATACATACATACATACATACATACATACATACATACATACATACATACATACATACATACATACATACATACATACATACATACATACATACATACATACATACATACATACATACATACATACATACATACATACATACATACATACATACATACATACATACATACATACATACATACATACATACATACATACATACATACATACATACATACATACATACATACATACATACATCATACGCACAAGCATAATCACCATCAACAATAAACACCACCTTCATATGCACCACCACCTGTGAAACGAACAGGGGCATACATCATCAGATGTAAAGGCATGAGATGTCTGGCCCCCAAGCCCCCACTGCTCCCCTATCCAGTTTGACCCTTAGAAAGTTTGACTTTTGAGCCGACTCAAAATTCACCTGATGTCTGGGCCCCAAGGCCCCACTGCTCCACCGTCCAGTTACACCCTTGTGCCGACCACCTCTGCTGCAGGGTTGGTTGACTGCCTTTGCAAGAAGGTTCGGAGCGAGGATTTGGGGAAGATGAGATGAGACACATGCATAGGATGTTGCGGACAATCGTGGAAAGAAACGTGTTGAATTGAATGTTATTCAACCCCCCACACACACACAGGCGCGTGCCCTCCTTTTTTTGAGACGTCTCAAAACTATTAAACCACACACACACGCGCGCGTGCCCTCCTGCGCGCGCACACACACCCCCTCCCACCCCCCCCCCCCCCACACAGTCACTCGCTCGCACTCACTCTCTCACTTACGCTCTCGCCACCCAATCTCTTGTGGTGTATTTTGAGGCGCCTCAAAATACACCTCTCACTTACGCTCTCGCCACCCAATCTCTTGTCGCTTCTCTCCAACCATACCTGGTCAGCAGTAATTAGCAGAGTCGGCACATCCGCAGTTTCCAAGAAGGTTCGTCCCTCCGCCTTGAGCTTGGCTAGGAGGGCGTCTGCCTGGTGGGGAGAGACACGTGGCACATGATTATTGGATGGCATGCCTCCTGAAAAAATCATACAAACAAACAAACAAACAAACCAAAGAGAAATCCTGGAGTGAGAGGGTTTCTTAACCCCTCTCACCTTAGCGCGAGAGAGGAGGGAGACAAGCTCGTGGGGGTCTGCACTCCGAATGGCCTCCTCGTCTATCCCTGGCTTCTGCACGGATTGGCATGAGCACAACACAGAATGGGATGTGCGGAGTAGGAAAAGAGAGCATGGGAAGTGGGCAGGATGGGATGACGAGGGCACCATGGGATGAGAGCAAGGGCACCATGGGATGAGAGCAAGGGCACCATGGGATGAGAGCAAGGGCACCATGGGATGAGAGCAAGGGCACCATGGGATGAGAGCAAGGGCACCATGGGATGAGAGCAAGGGCACCATGGGATGAGAGCAAGGGCACCATGGGATGAGAGCAAGGGCACCATGGGATGAGAGCAAGGGCACCATGGGATGAGAGCAAGGGCACCATGGGACGAGAGCAAGGGCACCATGGGATGAGAGCAAGGGCCCCATTAAACTTCTTCCTTTCCTCATTCCGACACAGATCCACCCGCACCCCACCCCATCTCTTCCCACAGCCTCTTTCCCCCAACACGAATATGTTCAGGGGCAGACATTCAGCTTCTCTAAATAGTCTCTCCCCCACCTGGCCAGCCAGGCGTTTAGGGCGCCTCTCTCCCACACCTCTCGATACCAGCGGTAGTACCCATTCCCATACCCGTTTCAGACGCCAAATGGAGCAGCAGAGCCAGCTCCCCATAAACTAAACCACCACGCCCAGCACCCTCTGCACCACTGCCGGCTGTTCCTCCTTCTATACGCGTTTCAGACATCCTCGTTTTCGACCATAAGAGCGATCAACGAACCCACCATTTCAAGCATCCTCGTTTCCAACCATTAGTGTGACAAAAGCACCCACCATGATCTCAAATGGCACACCTATCTCCCGCAGCACCTGCTGTCGGCGATTCATCCTATACGCATTTCAAACATCCTCGTTTCTGACCATTTGTGTGATCAAAGCACCCACCATGATCTCAAACGGCACGCCTATCTCCCGCAGCACCTGCTGCCGGCTCTGCGACGACGATCCCAGGATGATCTGTCAACACATGGAAACACGGGCGGGGCGTGGAGGGATGGTTTGGGGGAGTTGGAGAGCGTAGGCGGGCCAGAAGACCATTCAGTTGACACCCAGATTTCCCGCAGCACCTGCTGCCGGCTCTGAGACGACGATCCCAGGATGATCTGTCAACACATGGATGGAAGCACGGGCGGGGCGTGGAGATGTGTGTAATAGAGGACCGGACGAACATTCAGTTAACTCCCAGCATTCGCACAGCACCTGCTGGCGGCTCTGCGACGACGATCCCAGGATGATCAGTCAACACATGGAAGCACGGGGTGTGGACAGGTGGTGGGGGGGAGGTGGAGAGATAGAGCCTTTCCAAACCTTCCCGCAGCACCTGCTGCCGGCTCTGCGACGACGATCTTCGGGAACAGTCGGACGAGCAGCGCGTGGAGGGGTGGAGTAGGAAACTTTAGCTCACAGAGCAATGCAAAATCATAGAGCCTACAGAACCTACATTGCTCTGAAGTTCAGAATGTGAATTCTTCAGAGCTCACAGATCATCAGCACGTCAGAGCAAGAAGAGGATTTTTCACGAAAAGAAACGACCTTGACACTTTCCACCAGCTCATTTCGGAAAATACCTACGACTATAGCTTCCTATAAGCTTCTACTAATAGCGCATCCTACCTGGCAGTTCTTCATGTTTTCTCCCCACTTGGGCGCACGCCGATCACTCTCGATCCCCCCGGCTCTCACGCGAATTCGCCTTGTGGCGCTATGAGCTCGAGAATCGTAGCGAGGATTAACGACGTCTGTAGTTAAGATTACAGGGGCTGGGGTGCGATTGAAGCTACTGGGAGACGGAATGTGACAGCGACAGTTGCGGCTGGCAGGGAAGATAGCTGCGGGACGCTGGGACTGGGCGGGAAAATGGCGGGGAAACGGCTGCAGGAACCTACATACCGCCATGGACTAAGTGATGGTGGCTTGTTGGAATCATGAACTCCCTGCGCTCTCCTGAATCTATTTGTTCTGCCACGCAGGACATTGGTTTGCTGCAAGCCTTACCCCCCTCTCATCTTTCAGCTCTCATGGAGAAATATAATATAGTTTGGCTCAATCAGTAATGTTGAAACAGCTCATAACCTGTATACAATTCCCGCTCATCTTGTATAAGCACAATCGTCACAAAAGATCGGGAAAATATGTCACAAGTAACCAACATGGGACTCGATAACGTGAATGGTAAAAAAGTAACGCGTACGGTCACTGTATCGGGTTTGCTGACGGGTTTGGTAAGTGGGGTCACTGTACGGTCACTGTATCAGGACCGTCCGATCTGTCACCCTCACCAGAGTTCTGCTGCATCCACTCGCCAGATCGGAATCCCGCCAGATCGGAATCCCGCCAGAATTCTCCAAGTCTCAGCTTTCCAGCCCGCGCGGTAGTTGCCAAGCTCAGTGCCTAGCCACAAGCATAGCGGAACATCGTAACCAGTCGGCGGGAGATTCCTTCTAAGCCAGCGACACACTCCTTCTCTTACGCTGGTGTCGTGCATTCCATCCACGTTCTGCCAGACTCTCATTCGGATGAGGTAGGAACGGACCCGAGAGGCTGTAATAGTGGATCAGTCACCAGTTTCGTTCTAGCGGTTGAATTTCCCTACCGCAAATGAGATACGATTGGACTTGAGACGTTCATACGCACCCAAAAATTGGTTTCAAAATCGCAGAAGAGGTAAGGACGGACTTGAGAGTTCATGGGAGTGTAGATTCGGCCTGAGGAGTATTATGCATAGACTGCTTGAAAGCTTTACAGAGGAAGCTTAGATCCGATGAGAATCCAGCAGCAACGGTAGCAGACTGATGCTGATTAGTTGATATACCAATGAGTCGAGCAGTTAGAACGCAGGTTTTCGGATCCCCTGTCTGCTCCTTGGTGTTTCAACTAGCACCAACTCGTTGGAGCTTCGTTACTAGAACAAGCTTCATTGACGGGATACAATGTTATGTCATCAATGCACATGTCTTCCTTCCATACGACGCGCGCCTCGTCGGCGAATTCGTGCTGTTCTGACTCTCCTTGTGTCTGTCACTCTCCGCACACCCTTCTTCGCATCCTTGTTTCAGGTTCGCGTAGTGCCGTTTCAGCTATCGTGATCGCCTTTTCTATGCAACGATCGGTCGCCGTACCATCGATCCGCTAGCAGCAACCATCTCAGACTCCACCCTTTTAAACCGTCTCAAGGCCAATTCCGACTTGACGTCACTAACCAGATTCCGTCAGGCAGCCAGCCATGCGGCACGGCGCGCGGTCGTCGGGCACGTTCTCGGCGTCATGGAACGTGTGGATCATGGTCACCATCGCCGTCGTCCTCGTCTTCTTCGGCGCGTGGGCTATCTTCTCCCCCACCAATAACGCAGTGAGTTCCGCTAGACTCGTGAAACCGGGTGATTTGATTGTTCGTGGCGTCATGGAACGTGTGGATCGCCGCAACTGACAAGGGTACGAAATCTGGCGAGGGTACAAAATCTGCGATACTTTTGTACCCTTACATTTGATTCTCCTCATCGCCAGTCCGTAGCGGCGGTGGCAGAGGAGGAGGTGGAGGAGGACGTGGTGGGGGAGTCAGAGCCGTCAGTGACTCAGTTTACATACAATGTTGTGTTTTCCGCCCTCCCTTTATTCCGTTCTCCTCTCCCCCAGGCCGTGGGGGCATTGGCGGAGGAGGAGGTGGAGGACGTGGTGGGCGAGTCAGAACAGAGGTTGGAAGCTGACGTGAAAGTGGCGGAGGCGATCCAGAGAGCGAAGAACCGAGCCAAGCCCAAGGTGAGAGTGGGGGGGAGGGCAGGAAGGGCAGTGGTTAGTGGAGTATTTTGGGATGATGAAGGAGCGGGCGCGGGGGAAGGTGAAGTGGCGAGACTTTTGAGAATTCTCAAAAGTCACTCCAATATTTTGGGATGATGAAGGAGCGGGGGCGGGGGAAGGTGAAGTGGCGAGTCGGAGCAGCGGCTGGAAAGTGACGTGAAAGTTGCGGAGGCCATTCAGAGGTCCAAGAACCGAGCCAAGGACAAGGTGAGAGTCTTCTTGAGACGGCTCATGAGACTCTGGAGGTGTTCTAGAGAGTCTTCAGACGTCTCAAAGGGGACCAGCCTCTCCCTTGTACTGGTGCTGGACCATTCCTTCTCCCACCTCCCTGCCCTTTTCCTTCCATCTCCCTCGCTCATCAGGATGTGGCGGTGGAGGCAGAGGCGAGAAGCGGGCTGGCAGAGTAACCCTTAGAAGCAAGATCCCCGTCTTCCTTCCCCTCCCTTACTCTCCCTCGCTCGATGCCTGTCAGGACGTGGCAGTAGAGTCAGAGACGAGCAGTGGATTGGCAGAGTGAACCCTTGGAACCGAGACCCACCTCTTTCTTTTCCTCTCTTACTCTCCCTCGCTCGTCAGGACGTGGCAGTGGAGGCAGAGGCGAGCAGCGGGCTGGCTGAAGAGACGGGCGCTGAAGGCGCAGGGGAGGAGGACGAGCAGGGGGTTGAAGTGGCGGGAGGCGAGGAGGGGGGGAGTGACGAGGGCGGAGGCGAGGAGGGAGGAGGTGAAGTTGGGGGAGGGAAGGAAGCGGGGAACGGTGGCGAGGAGGAGGAGGGAGGTGGAGAAGAGGAGAAGGGCGCTGATGCTGGGGCGGGAAGAGGGAAGGGTGGAAGGGGAGGAGGTGGAGGGAAGGAGAGCGTTGAAGAGGGCAGTGAAGAGGAGGAGGAAGGAGGTGGTGGAGGAGGGGTGAAGGGAGCTGCGAGTGAGGAGGAAGGGGAGTCAGAAGGCGAGGAAGAAGAGAAGGGGGGAAAGGGTGTGCAGGGGAAGAAGGGTGGAGAGGAAGAGGAGGGTGACGCAGCAGGCGAGGAGGGAGGGGAGGGAGAAGGTGCTGCAGAGGAAGGGGAAGAGGTCAAAAGGGGGAAGGCTGCTGGAAATTCCAAGGTAGGGCCTCAGAGGATTATTGGCAGAGAGGCTGAGATCTGAAAGGAACTGATGATCTCTCTCTCTTCCATCCCATCCTCCTTATCTCTTAATTTGCAAGTTCTTCCCCTCCCTTATTCCAACCTTTGAGACGTCTCAAAAATAATCCCCTCCCTTATTCCAACCTTTCCCTCTCTCCTATATCAACCGTGTCTTCCCTTCCCCCTGCCCAGTTCTTCTCTGCTGACCTGGCAGCAGTGGAAGCAGCGTGGGACTCGGAGGACGCAGCAGCAGCGGACCCCAACGTTCCAGCAGCAGACCTGCGCACAGAGAGCACGAGCTCTGAGGCAGGCAGTGGGCTCGAGACACAGGCACGGGAGTCGGAGGAGGAAGCGAGGCTGGACATTCGAGAGGCTGCCACCAAGAAGCAGGAGAGCAAGAAGACGGAGGTAGGTGCTGAAAGATGAGCGTAAGTGTATGTTATTCAGTGTTCTAGGGTGCAAATCAGGGAGGCAGGCAGTGGGCTCAAGTCTCAGGCGAGGGAGTTGGAGGAGGAAGCGAGGCTGGAGATTTGGAAGGATGATACGAAGTAGAAAGAGAGCAAGCAGACGGAGTTAGGTGCTGAAAGATGCGTGTTGATATTCTGTTCAGTGCTTTGAAGTGCCCGTGAGGGAGGCAGGCAGTGGGCTCTCAAGTAGCAGGCGAGGGGGAGTCTGAGGAGGCGAGGCTGGAGATTTGGAAGGATGATACGAAGTAGAAGGAGAGCAAGCAGACGGAGGTAGGGCTTTGGTTTGTTTGTTTGGTAACAGTACAGGCAGCAGCTGGGAGGCAGGCAGAGGGGTCAAGCGGCAGGCATGGGAGTCTGAGGAGGAGACGAGGTTGGACATTTGTGAGGCTGCCACTAAGATTATCCCGAGCAACCGCATGGAATGAAATGATAGTTTTGAGGCGCCTCAAAACTAGGCAGAAGCAGGAGAGCTGGCAGACGGAGGTAAGGGAGAGAGCAAGCAGATCATAGAGGAGGGAGTGAAGATTATCCCGAGCAACCACATGGAATGAAATTATTTTCTCTCCCTGTGACTGCTTGCTTCCTTCCCCTGTTCACAATCCGCCCCCCATCTCAGGACGACTTTGGGGAGGTGGAGGGGGGAGCGACGATCATCCAGAGCAGCAGAGCAGAGACCTGCCGCTCATGGCAGGGTCGGTGGGGCAGGGCACAGGGGAGGAGGGGGGCGGCGCCCTGCCCTCCCTGGACCTTGAAGCTACCAAGTTCCGCTGGATGGACTGATCTGTTTCCCTGCCTCTGATTGCTTCCCTCTCCCCTTCCCCCCCTTTCTCTCCCCCGCGCCCGCACCTCCGAAACCCCCTCCCGGCCACTACTCAGGACGACTTTGGGGAGGTGGAGGGGGGAGCGACGATCATCCAGAGCAGCCCCGAGAGTAAAGACCCGCCACTCATGGCAGGCCCAGTGGGGCAGGGCACAGGGGAGGAGGGGGGCGGCGCCCTGCCCTCCCTTGACCTTGAAAACGCCAAGTTCCGCTGGCCGTCGTGCGGTGGTAACCGCACGGACTGGGTGCCGTGTCTGGACAATGAGAAGGCGATCAAGGCGCTGAGGACAAACAAGCACTATGAGCACCGGGAGAGGCACTGCCCGTTGCCTGGGGAGATGGAGAAGTGCCTGGTGCCGCTGCCCGAGGGGTACAAGGCGCATGTGCCGTGGCCCGAGAGCAGAGACCAGGTGAGACGCGGTGCAGTGCGGTGAAACGTGGTGAAATGGACAGTGCGTTGGGGTTAAGTGGGGTGAATTGGGGGAAACAAGCACTATGAGCACCGGGAGAGGCACTGCCCTGTGCCTGGGGAAATGGGGAAATGCCTGGTGCCGCTGCCAGAGGGGTACAAGGCGCATGTGCCGTGGCCCGAGAGCAGAGACCAGGTGAGATGCGGTGGAGAGGGGTGAGAAGCTTTGGAAAATTAAGCAAGGAGGGGGTGTATTGACACCAGAAACACGGATTGAGCCACTCAGCAGTCTGAGCAATACACCCATTCAGCGTAATTACCTCCTTGTCCTCCCATGTTTGGCCATGTGCTTCCCCGCACCTCATGTCATCCCATATGGCCCGTCCACGATAATTCCATCCCCACACAGGGTGCATCAACTTACACTCTGCTCCCACTCTCACTCTCTTGCTTTGCTCGTCCGTCGCACCTTCTGCCCGCTGCTTCTCAACAGGTGTGGTACGACAACGTGCCGCACCCGGGCCTGGCGAGCTACAAGCTGGGTTCTAAAGCGCGCCATAGTTTGTTTCAAATGCCTCTTCTCCTCTCTCGTAACTGCCCCCTTCCCTTCTCAACAGGTGTGGTACAACAACGTGCCGCACCCGGGCCTGGCGAGCTACAAGAAGGATCAGAACTGGGTGGCGATGGAAGGCGACAAGCTTGTGTTCCCGGGGGGTGGTACGCAATTCACCCATGGAGCCACGGGGTACATCAACTTCGTCCAGAAGGTACGGTGCAATTCGGTGCAGTGCGGTTTGGTGTGATGCGGTGCAGTGTGGTATGGGGCCTGGCGAGCTACAAGAAGGATCAGAACTGGGTGGCGATGGAGGGTGACAAGATCGTGTTCCCGGGAGGGGGTACGCAGTTCACCCATGGTGCCACGAAGTACATCAATTTCGTCCAGAAGGTACGGTGCAGTGCGGTGTGGTGTGGTGTGGTGTGGTGTGATGCAGAGTAGTCCGATGCAGTATGGTACGGTGTGGTGTGGTACAGAAACGTGCGTCACCCAGGCCTTGCGAGCTACATCAAATATCACAACTGCTTCCCGCATGGGTTGATAGAATTACCCAACTTCATCCAGAATGTGCATTGCCGTGCGATGCAGCGTGGTGTGGTGCGTTAGGATATGGTGGCCCTGAGAGATGACGTGGGTAGTGCGTGCCGTTTTTCGACATAAGCTGTGGGCTGGGGTGGTATGGTGTATCATTATCAGACACTCGTTCCCTTCCTGTGGTATGTGGCATGGGGCATAGAAGACCGTGCTAGTCCCGTGCTAGTCTTCTGGGCACATGCATGTCGTGGTATGGAGTAACGAGTAACTTTATTATGCCACCACAAGTTATTTTATGTCGAACAGACCAATTGATGGGGCAAGTGCATGCAAGACATGGGCTGTGGGTGGCCTGGGTTACCAACTTTTTGATCGGGGCTTGTACCTGATTTCTCAAACACTCCCTCCAACCAATTCAGGCCTTCTCCGATGTGGCGTGGGGCAAGCGAGTGTGCGTGATGCTGGACATGGGCTGTGGCGTGGGCTGAGGTAACCTACTCCTTACACCCCCCCACACCCCCCCACACCCCCCCACATCCCTCCAACCAATTCAGGCCTTCGCCGATGTGGCGTGGGGCAGGCGAGTGCGGGTGATGCTGGACATGGGCTGTGGCGTGGCGAGCCTGTCGGCGTATCTGGACGCGTTTGACGTGCGGGTCATGTCCATGGCGCCCAAGGACGAGCACGAGGCGCAGGTGGGTTAGCACAAGTGGGATTGCTACAGGTGGGACGAGCTGGGATCATGGGTTATGAGCCTGAAGTGGAGTGGGGAAAGAGTTGATGTCTCAAGGGCTGCGAGCCTGTCAGCGCAGGTGAGGACGCCACAGGCCATGGTGATTGTGTTTTTTGAGACGTCTCAAAGGACGCCATAGGCCATGGTGATTGTGTTTTTTGAGACGTCTCAAAGGACGCCACAGGCCATGGTGATTGTGTTTTTTGAGACGTCTCAAAGGACGCCACAGGCCATGGTGATTGTGTTTTTTGAGACGTCTCAAAGGACGCCACAGGCCATGGTGATTGTGTTTTTTTCCCTTCTTTCCTCGGGCTACTGGGCGTTTCGTTAAGAGTTGTGGTGAAGGGTTGTCACCGTTTTGAGACGTCTCAAAACTGGTTGTCACCGTACCTGGAGGCGTCTTTTGAGGCGCCTCAAAAGGGTTGTCACCGTACCTGGAGGCGTTTGACGTGCGGGTCATGTTTTGAGGCGCCTCAAAAGTCGTTTCGTTAAGAGTTGTGGTGAAGGGTTGTCACGTTCACCGTACCTGGACTGGAGGCTTGAAGCCTGTCACCGTACCTGGACTGGAGGCTTGAAGCCTGTCACCATATCTGGACTGGAGGCGTTTGACGTGCGGGTCATGTCCATGGCGCCCAAGGACGAGCACGAGGCGCAGGTGAGGATGGGGATGAGAATGGCACAGGCACAAGGGTTGTTGGGCGCTTGGGTCAGGGTTAGGGTGAAGGCTTGAAGCCTGTCACCGTACCTGGACGCGTTTGACGTGCGAGTCATGTCCATGGCGCCCAAGGACGAGCACGAGGCCCAGGTGAGTATGAGGATGAGGATGGCGCAGGCACAAGGTTTACAGACTTTCTGTTTGCTGGCTTTTTACTTTTCTGGTCTATTGGGGCGTTTGTTTTAGAGCAGCGGTAGTTTTGAAGCCTGTCAGCGCCCCTGGGGGCGTTCGACATATGCGTTATGTCTATGGTGCCAAAAGACAAGCACGAGGCGCAGGTGGGTGGGAAAGAGAGGGTGTGCTGCAGGGCTGTGACAGGCTGTGATGGGTGCGAGTGATGGTGCTGTGTGGTTGGGGGGATACGGGGGCGAGGATGGAAACTAGCATAGAAAGGGGGTGCTGGTGGGGATGGGGTGATGGTATGCAACAGCTTACCCTCAAGCTTTGGTTGGGTAGGTTCCCCCTGATTCACCTGCCATCACCCCTACTTGTTAGACTCACCCACAACCCCCTCCCCCCTCCGCCCCTTCCTCGTTCTTTCCCTGGCAGATTCAACTGGCTCTGGAGCGGGGGGTGCTGGCGGTGGTGGGGGTGATGGGCACGCAGCGCCTGCCTTTCTCCTCCAACTCCTTTGATGCCGTGCACTGCGCTCGCTGCCGCGTGCCATGGCACATTGATGGTGGGTTGTGTCATGCAGTGCATGCTTGTGTGCACACACTCTACACATGCTCTCTCCATACACATGCACACATCCCCACATGCACATGCACATACGTCCTCAATCCCATCTCGCTCTTGCACTCCCAGCTTCTTTGATACCATGCACGCACTCGCTGCAGGGTTGATACCTTTTATACTCCGCGATGACAAATTGATGGTGGTTGGGAAAGCACTCTCACATACATGCGTGCACTGCACACACATGCACACACACACGCACTGGTGTTTTCTCACTGAGTGAATCTCCTCTTTCAAGTCACATAAAAAACTTGTTTCCATTTCCCCGAATTCCCCGTGTACGCCGCCAGGTGGCATGCTGCTATTGGAGCTGAACCGAGTGCTGAGGCCAGGAGGCTTCTTCATCTGGTCAGCCACGCCTGTGTACCGCCATAAGGGGGATGACGAGGAGATATGGAGCGGTGAGTGTGGGTGCATGGCGTGGTGATTGGGTGGAGGTTCGATTCCGCGCAACGTATGGCATAGAATCATGCTTCATTTGGTCGGCCATGCATGTGTACCGCCGCGAGGGGGACAACAAGAATATCTAAATTGGTGAGCGTGGGTACATGGTGCATAGAGTGAAGTAGACTCGTGTGAATGTATCGATTGAGCTTGTGCCTGGTCAGCCACGCCTGTGTACCACTACAGGGGGGATGATGAGGAGATCTGGAGCGGTGGGTGTGGCAGAAGCTTTATTCATCCCCTTTGCACCCCCCTCACTACCACCACCACCACCCTCCCCTTCTACTGCAGCAATGACTGATATGGCGGAGCGCATGTGCTGGACGCTCAAGGTGCGGGAGAAGGAGGACGGGCTGGACAACGTGGGCGTGGCTGAGTGGCAGAAGCCGGCTGTGACCGCTGAGCCCCACTCACCTGTACACCCATTCATCCTTTCCCTGCCCTCCTCCCCACCCTCCACCCGCAGCAATGACTGACCTGGCTGAGCGCATGTGCTGGACGTTGAAGGTGCGGGAGAAGGAGGACGGGCTGGACAACGTGGGCGTGGCTGAGTGGCAGAAGCCGGCTGTGACCGCTGAGCCCCACTCACCTGTACACCCATTCATCCTTTCCCTGCCCTCCTCCCCACCCTCCACCCGCAGCAATGACTGACCTGGCTGAGCGCATGTGCTGGACGTTGAAGGTGCGGGAGAAGGAGGACGGGCTGGACAACGTGGGCGTGGCTGAGTGGCAGAAGCCGGCTGTGACCGTTGAGCCCCACTCACCTGTACACCCATTCATCCTTTCCCTGCCCTCCTCCCCACCCTCCACCCGCAGCAATGACTGACCTGGCTGAGCACATGTGCTGGACGTTGAAGGTGCGGGAGAAGGAGGACGGGCTGGACAACGTGGGCGTGGCTGAGTGGCAGAAGCCGGCTGTGACCGTTGAGCCCCACTCACCTGTACACCCATTCATCCTTTCCCTGCCCTCCTCCCCACCCTCCACCCGCAGCAATGACTGACCTGGCTGAGCGCATGTGCTGGACGTTGAAGGTGCGGAAGAAGGAGGACGGGCTGGGCAACGTGGGCGTGGCTGAGTGGCAGAAGCCGGCTGTGACCGTTGAGCCCCACTCACCTGTACACCCATTCATCCTTTCCCTGCCCTCCTCCCCACCCTCCACCCGCAGCAATGACTGACCTGGCTGAGCGCATGTGCTGGACGTTGAAGGTGCGGGAGAAGGAGGACGGGCTGGACAACGTGGGCGTGGCGGTGTGGCAGAAACCTTCTGACAACCGCTGCTACAGCGAGCGCAGTGCAGGGACCCCGCCTCCCATGTGTGAATCGGACGACAACCCCGATGCTGCTTGGTGAGTCGGAAGCGTGAGGCAGTAAGTAGGGCCATGGAGAGGAGAAGGTCTGTGCATTCGGTGTGGCTGAAACCTAGTGATAACTGCTACAGCTGCAGTGCAGGGACCCTGCCTCCCATGTGTGAATCGGATGATAGTTGGGATGCTGTATGGTGAGTGGTGAGGGGAGCTGGATCGTGGGCATGGAAGGGGACAGCTATGGGAAGCGGTTTGCTGCTCGCTGAGAACATGTCCCAAGACCAGTGGGCATGGAAGGGGACAGCTATGGGAAGCGGTTTGCTGCTCGCTGAGAACATGTCCCAAGACCAGTGGGCATGGAAGGGGACAGCTATGGGAAGCGGTTTGCTGCTCGCTGAGAACATGTCCCAAGACCAGTGGGCATGGAAGGGGACAGCTATGGGAAGCGGTTTGCTGCTCGCTGAGAACATGTCCCAAGACCAGTGGGCATGGAAGGGGACAGCTATGGGAAGCGGTTTGCTGCTCGCTGAGAACATGTCCCAAGACCAGTGGGCATGGAAGGGGACAGCTATGGGAAGCGGTTTGCTGCTCGCTGAGAACATGTCCCAAGACCAGTGGGCATGGAAGGGGACAGCTATGGGAAGCGGTTTGCTGCTCGCTGAGAACATGTCCCAAGACCAGTGGGCATGGAAGGGGACAGCTATGGGAAGCGGTTTGCTGCTCGCTGAGAACATGTCCCAAGACCAGTGGGCATGGAAGGGGACAGCTATGGGAAGCGGTTTGCTGCTCGCTGAGAACATGTCCCAAGACCAGTGGGCATGGAAGGGGACAGCTATGGGAAGCGGTTTGCTGCTCGCTGAGAACATGTCCCAAGACCAGTGGGCATGGAAGGGGACAGCTATGGGAAGCGGTTTGCTGCTCGCTGAGAACATGTCCCAAGACCAGTGGGCATGGAAGGGGACAGCTATGGGAAGCGGTTTGCTGCTCGCTGAGAACATGTCCCAAGACCAGTGGGCATGGAAGGGGACAGCTATGGGAAGCGGTTTGCTGCTCGCTGAGAACATGTCCCAAGACCAGTGGGCATGGAAGGGGACAGCTATGGGAAGCGGTTTGCTGCTCGCTGAGAACATGTCCCAAGACCAGTGGGCATGGAAGGGGACAGCTATGGGAAGCGGTTTGCTGCTCGCTGAGAACATGTCCCAAGACCAGTGGGCATGGAAGGGGACAGCTATGGGAAGCGGTTTGCTGCTCGCTGAGAACATGTCCCAAGACCAGTGGGCATGGAAGGGGACAGCTATGGGAAGCGGTTTGCTGCTCGCTGAGAACATGTCCCAAGACCAGTGGGCATGGAAGGGGACAGCTATGGGAAGCGGTTTGCTGCTCGCTGAGAACATGTCCCAAGACCAGTGGGCATGGAAGGGGACAGCTATGGGAAGCGGTTTGCTGCTCGCTGAGAACATGTCCCAAGACCAGTGGGCATGGAAGGGGACAGCTATGGGAAGCGGTTTGCTGCTCGCTGAGAACATGTCCCAAGACCAGTGGGCATGGAAGGGGACAGCTATGGGAAGCGGTTTGCTGCTCGCTGAGAACATGTCCCAAGACCAGTGGGCATGGAAGGGGACAGCTATGGGAAGCGGTTTGCTGCTCGCTGAGAACATGTCCCAAGACCAGTGGGCATGGAAGGGGACAGCTATGGGAAGCGGTTTGCTGCTCGCTGAGAACATGTCCCAAGACCAGTGGGCATGGAAGGGGACAGCTATGGGAAGCGGTTTGCTGCTCGCTGAGAACATGTCCCAAGACCAGTGGGCATGGAAGGGGACAGCTATGGGAAGCGGTTTGCTGCTCGCTGAGAACATGTCCCAAGACCAGTGGGCATGGAAGGGGACAGCTATGGGAAGCGGTTTGCTGCTCGCTGAGAACATGTCCCAAGACCAGTGGGCATGGAAGGGGACAGCTATGGGAAGCGGTTTGCTGCTCGCTGAGAACATGTCCCAAGACCAGTGGGCATGGAAGGGGACAGCTATGGGAAGCGGTTTGCTGCTCGCTGAGAACATGTCCCAAGACCAGTGGGCATGGAAGGGGACAGCTATGGGAAGCGGTTTGCTGCTCGCTGAGAACATGTCCCAAGACCAGTGGGCATGGAAGGGGACAGCTATGGGAAGCGGTTTGCTGCTCGCTGAGAACATGTCCCAAGACCAGTGGGCATGGAAGGGGACAGCTATGGGAAGCGGTTTGCTGCTCGCTGAGAACATGTCCCAAGACCAGTGGGCATGGAAGGGGACAGCTATGGGAAGCGGTTTGCTGCTCGCTGAGAACATGTCCCAAGACCAGTGGGCATGGAAGGGGACAGCTATGGGAAGCGGTTTGCTGCTCGCTGAGAACATGTCCCAAGACCAGTGGGCATGGAAGGGGACAGCTATGGGAAGCGGTTTGCTGCTCGCTGAGAACATGTCCCAAGACCAGTGGGCATGGAAGGGGACAGCTATGGGAAGCGGTTTGCTGCTCGCTGAGAACATGTCCCAAGACCAGTGGGCATGGAAGGGGACAGCTATGGGAAGCGGTTTGCTGCTCGCTGAGAACATGTCCCAAGACCAGTGGGCATGGAAGGGGACAGCTATGGGAAGCGGTTTGCTGCTCGCTGAGAACATGTCCCAAGACCAGTGGGCATGGAAGGGGACAGCTATGGGAAGCGGTTTGCTGCTCGCTGAGAACATGTCCCAAGACCAGTGGGCATGGAAGGGGACAGCTATGGGAAGCGGTTTGCTGCTCGCTGAGAACATGTCCCAAGACCAGTGGGCATGGAAGGGGACAGCTATGGGAAGCGGTTTGCTGCTCGCTGAGAACATGTCCCAAGACCAGTGGGCATGGAAGGGGACAGCTATGGGAAGCGGTTTGCTGCTCGCTGAGAACATGTCCCAAGACCAGTGGGCATGGAAGGGGACAGCTATGGGAAGCGGTTTGCTGCTCGCTGAGAACATGTCCCAAGACCAGTGGGCATGGAAGGGGACAGCTATGGGAAGCGGTTTGCTGCTCGCTGAGAACATGTCCCAAGACCAGTGGGCATGGAAGGGGACAGCTATGGGAAGCGGTTTGCTGCTCGCTGAGAACATGTCCCAAGACCAGTGGGCATGGAAGGGGACAGCTATGGGAAGCGGTTTGCTGCTCGCTGAGAACATGTCCCAAGACCAGTGGGCATGGAAGGGGACAGCTATGGGAAGCGGTTTGCTGCTCGCTGAGAACATGTCCCAAGACCAGTGGGCATGGAAGGGGACAGCTATGGGAAGCGGTTTGCTGCTCGCTGAGAACATGTCCCAAGACCAGTGGGCATGGAAGGGGACAGCTATGGGAAGCGGTTTGCTGCTCGCTGAGAACATGTCCCAAGACCAGTGGGCATGGAAGGGGACAGCTATGGGAAGCGGTTTGCTGCTCGCTGAGAACATGTCCCAAGACCAGTGGGCATGGAAGGGGACAGCTATGGGAAGCGGTTTGCTGCTCGCTGAGAACATGTCCCAAGACCAGTGGGCATGGAAGGGGACAGCTATGGGAAGCGGTTTGCTGCTCGCTGAGAACATGTCCCAAGACCAGTGGGCATGGAAGGGGACAGCTATGGGAAGCGGTTTGCTGCTCGCTGAGAACATGTCCCAAGACCAGTGGGCATGGAAGGGGACAGCTATGGGAAGCGGTTTGCTGCTCGCTGAGAACATGTCCCAAGACCAGTGGGCATGGAAGGGGACAGCTATGGGAAGCGGTTTGCTGCTCGCTGAGAACATGTCCCAAGACCAGTGGGCATGGAAGGGGACAGCTATGGGAAGCGGTTTGCTGCTCGCTGAGAACATGTCCCAAGACCAGTGGGCATGGAAGGGGACAGCTATGGGAAGCGGTTTGCTGCTCGCTGAGAACATGTCCCAAGACCAGTGGGCATGGAAGGGGACAGCTATGGGAAGCGGTTTGCTGCTCGCTGAGAACATGTCCCAAGACCAGTGGGCATGGAAGGGGACAGCTATGGGAAGCGGTTTGCTGCTCGCTGAGAACATGTCCCAAGACCAGTGGGCATGGAAGGGGACAGCTATGGGAAGCGGTTTGCTGCTCGCTGAGAACATGTCCCAAGACCAGTGGGCATGGAAGGGGACAGCTATGGGAAGCGGTTTGCTGCTCGCTGAGAACATGTCCCAAGACCAGTGGGCATGGAAGGGGACAGCTATGGGAAGCGGTTTGCTGCTCGCTGAGAACATGTCCCAAGACCAGTGGGCATGGAAGGGGACAGCTATGGGAAGCGGTTTGCTGCTCGCTGAGAACATGTCCCAAGACCAGTGGGCATGGAAGGGGACAGCTATGGGAAGCGGTTTGCTGCTCGCTGAGAACATGTCCCAAGACCAGTGGGCATGGAAGGGGACAGCTATGGGAAGCGGTTTGCTGCTCGCTGAGAACATGTCCCAAGACCAGTGGGCATGGAAGGGGACAGCTATGGGAAGCGGTTTGCTGCTCGCTGAGAACATGTCCCAAGACCAGTGGGCATGGAAGGGGACAGCTATGGGAAGCGGTTTGCTGCTCGCTGAGAACATGTCCCAAGACCAGTGGGCATGGAAGGGGACAGCTATGGGAAGCGGTTTGCTGCTCGCTGAGAACATGTCCCAAGACCAGTGGGCATGGAAGGGGACAGCTATGGGAAGCGGTTTGCTGCTCGCTGAGAACATGTCCCAAGACCAGTGGGCATGGAAGGGGACAGCTATGGGAAGCGGTTTGCTGCTCGCTGAGAACATGTCCCAAGACCAGTGGGCATGGAAGGGGACAGCTATGGGAAGCGGTTTGCTGCTCGCTGAGAACATGTCCCAAGACCAGTGGGCATGGAAGGGGACAGCTATGGGAAGCGGTTTGCTGCTCGCTGAGAACATGTCCCAAGACCAGTGGGCATGGAAGGGGACAGCTATGGGAAGCGGTTTGCTGCTCGCTGAGAACATGTCCCAAGACCAGTGGGCATGGAAGGGGACAGCTATGGGAAGCGGTTTGCTGCTCGCTGAGAACATGTCCCAAGACCAGTGGGCATGGAAGGGGACAGCTATGGGAAGCGGTTTGCTGCTCGCTGAGAACATGTCCCAAGACCAGTGGGCATGGAAGGGGACAGCTATGGGAAGCGGTTTGCTGCTCGCTGAGAACATGTCCCAAGACCAGTGGGCATGGAAGGGGACAGCTATGGGAAGCGGTTTGCTGCTCGCTGAGAACATGTCCCAAGACCAGTGGGCATGGAAGGGGACAGCTATGGGAAGCGGTTTGCTGCTCGCTGAGAACATGTCCCAAGACCAGTGGGCATGGAAGGGGACAGCTATGGGAAGCGGTTTGCTGCTCGCTGAGAACATGTCCCAAGACCAGTGGGCATGGAAGGGGACAGCTATGGGAAGCGGTTTGCTGCTCGCTGAGAACATGTCCCAAGACCAGTGGGCATGGAAGGGGACAGCTATGGGAAGCGGTTTGCTGCTCGCTGAGAACATGTCCCAAGACCAGTGGGCATGGAAGGGGACAGCTATGGGAAGCGGTTTGCTGCTCGCTGAGAACATGTCCCAAGACCAGTGGGCATGGAAGGGGACAGCTATGGGAAGCGGTTTGCTGCTCGCTGAGAACATGTCCCAAGACCAGTGGGCATGGAAGGGGACAGCTATGGGAAGCGGTTTGCTGCTCGCTGAGAACATGTCCCAAGACCAGTGGGCATGGAAGGGGACAGCTATGGGAAGCGGTTTGCTGCTCGCTGAGAACATGTCCCAAGACCAGTGGGCATGGAAGGGGACAGCTATGGGAAGCGGTTTGCTGCTCGCTGAGAACATGTCCCAAGACCAGTGGGCATGGAAGGGGACAGCTATGGGAAGCGGTTTGCTGCTCGCTGAGAACATGTCCCAAGACCAGTGGGCATGGAAGGGGACAGCTATGGGAAGCGGTTTGCTGCTCGCTGAGAACATGTCCCAAGACCAGTGGGCATGGAAGGGGACAGCTATGGAAGCGGGGAAGAGTGGAACAGGGGTGAGGCAGTGTGGGGTAGGGAACCAACAGGGACAAGAGAGGTGCGGGCACGCTGTGTGGCACAGGCCCTCTGACAACCACTGCCGCAACAAGCACGGTCCATGGGGGGAGCGAGGCTGACTGTTGTGGTGGATTTTTTAGTAGACTCAAAGATTGGTGGCTATGTGTGGCATAGGAATCCTTCTCAACGTCCCCCTGTCCTCTTCACCCCACTTTCTACTCCCCCCCCACCCCTTTCTCCGTTACCCCCCCTGTCTCCCCAGGTACGTACCCATGAAGGCGTGTCTGAATCCTGTCCCGGCCTTCAAGGGCATGCGGGCGGCGCAGTGGCCAGCCATGGGCAGGGCAAGGCTGAGGGCCGTGCCTGCATGGCTGCAGATGCTCAAACGAGGGGTGTTTGGCGGGCCTGCTGTCGCTGAGATGAAACGCGACCAGGTGAGATGCAGAGAAACGAGGGCAGGTGGGAATTGCGGTGAAACGGGAGCCGTAGCCGTAAATGAAAAAAGGGTGAGATGTCAGAATCTGGTAGGATGAAACGGGACTCGTGATATTATTTTGGGCTGAATGGAATAAATATGGGCGGTAAAGTATATATATCAATCCATTTTTTTTTTTTTTTTTTTTTTGAGACGTCTCAAAAAAAGTATATATATATCAATCCATTACTTATCCATGTGTGATAACACCTTGGTTCTTACTTTGTGCTAACTATTTGTTTCCCCGTCGGCCCTCTTTTCCTCCCCCAATCCCTCCCAGATCCACTGGAAGAAGGTAGTTGCGTTCTACGATGCTTCTTTTGGCATCGACTGGGGCACAGTGCGGAACGTGATGGACATGAACGCGCACTATGGCGGGTGAGTGTGATCGTGTGGCAGGTGAGTGTGATGGCAGGTAAGTGTGAGTCTATGGAGTGGGAGGTTTATAAGGAGCGTCTGGGGACTCATCAAACATTGACTGGAGCACAGTGCGGAATGTGATGGACATGAACGCACACTATGGCGGGTGAGTGTGACTATGTGGAGGGTGAGATATAGTTGCAGAGCATCTCTTATGCACACGCTAAGGTTGAAGCAGTGAATATGGATTGGAGCACAGTGCGGAACGTGATGCCCACGAGTGGCCCCGACTACCACCAACCCTCCATCCCTCCCCACCTGTCCCCATCCCTCTACACCGCTCTCCAGCTTCGCAGCAGAGCTGGCAGTGTCAAAGAAGCCCCTGTGGGTGCTGAACGTGGTGCCGACAAGTGGCCCCGACTCGCTTCCGATAGTGTTTGAGCGCGGGCTGGTGGGCATCTACCATGACTGGTGCGAGTCATTCAACTCGTACCCGCGCTCCTACGACCTGCTTCACGCTGATCACACCGTGTCACAGGAGGTTGGCAGGTGAGAAACGCCTAAACAAAGCTTCTATGGCTGATGAGAAACGCCTAAACAAAGCTTCTATGGCTGGTGAGAAACGCGTGCCCCCGCTGGTGAGAAACGTGTGCCCCCGCTCATTCATGCTTGTGCAACCTGCCCATCATGTTTTGAGATGTCTCTCAAAACTCTGCCCATGGTGTCTGGGCGTGGGCTGGTGTGAATCTACCATGAGTGGTGCGAGGCGTTCAACTCGTCGTACCCGCGCTCCTACGACCTGCTTCACGCTGATCATACTGTCTCACAGGAGGTTGGCAGGTGAGCAATAGAAGAATCAGATACTCACAGGCGCATGCCCGCACAGTCACACTCCTGCGACCCACAGACCCCAAAGAGCTGTGTGCTGGTCCCACTGGGTCACATGAGGTGGGGGGGTTGATGAAAGCTCGTGCCTTTTCATGCTTCTGCAAGCTGCTGGATGCATGATTCGGAGTTGACAGACGAGTGATGGGACAAGGTTAGAGGGGTGAGACGTAGGAATGGCATGACCCTCATTTCTCATTCTCTCCCTCTTCATCTCAACCTCTACCCCACTGCCCCCACTGCCCCTACCTTCCCCCCCTCTGCCCACATCTCTGCCCTTACCAGGTGTGACATCACATCTGTCCTGCTCAAGATGGACCGTCTGCTCCGCCCGGAGGGCTGGGCGGTGTTCCGCGACCATACCCGCATGGGGGGGTCGATTCGTGCGTTGTCCCTCCATCGCAACCCCACGGCTCCCACACCCAACCCCACTGCTCTCTCCCCCCACAACCGTGCTCCTCCCAGGTGTGACATCACATCTGTCCTGCTCGGGATGGATCGTCTGCTTGGACGGTGTCCCGCGACCATACCCGCAAAGGGGGTTCATCTGTGCCTCCCACCCCCCACCTCTCCCACCTATCCCACCTCCACCCACATCACTGCCCCCACCAGGTGTGACATCACATCTGTCCTGCTCGAGATGGACCGTCTGCTCCGCCCCGAGGGATGGGCAGTGTTCCGCGACCATACCCGCATGGGGGGATCTATCCTCAACATCGCAACATCTTTCCATTGGAAGCTCAAGTTCAACAAGACAGAGGGCGGAGAGGTGCTGCTGGCGTTCCAAAAGGGCTTCTGGCGACCCAAGGAATCAGAGGAGGAGGCTTGATGTTGAAGAGAGGATTGAAGAATCCAGAATACGTAGGTTTGACTGTAGAGGTTCGACAGCTTGACGTACGGTACATGAGAATTCTTATAAGGGGAAGAGCATGCTTTGCCGAGACTATACTTGCATTGAGGGCACTATTTTGCGACATCACAGCATCCTTCCACTGGCAGCTCAAGTTCAACAAGACTGAGGGCGGATGGCATTCCAAACGGGCTTCTGGCGACCCAAGGAAGCAGAGGAGGCAGCTTGATGCTTGCCCTAGATACTTGAAATGTGGAGTCTCATGTTCAACCGGAGTGAAGGCATTGAGGTGTTGCTCCTCTGGTTTCAAGAGGGCTTCTTCTGGCGACCCAAGGACACAGGAGGATTGGCGATCGTGCTAAAGGGGATAGAGATTCAGAACCCAGTAGTAGTTTTCGCCTCAAAGGAGCTGAGGTCGGGGGTTGGGGGGGAGGGAGGAGGGGGGGGGATTCGCCTCAAAGGATCTGAAGTTGGGGAACATGCGTTGTTGTTTCCATGCACGCATGGATGGAGCTATCTGTCTGACAGACCAGATGCACGTAGGGTAGGTATCCAATCCAGTTGTCCAACCCGTCAATATCCTTCAAGATTCAAGAGTGTAATTTTTGAGTCGACTCAAAAATCGCCTCAAGAATCATCATGTGCATAACTCGCGTGTCATCTGATTGCTAGACTTGCTCAGCAGCAGACATGTACGGTACCGAAACGCGGGTTTGAGTTGGCTGGCGCAGGCTAGACCTGTTCAGCAGTAGGCGACGTATAGTACCGTACATGCATGTTGACTTTTGAGTCGACTCAAAAGTAAGCAGGCAACATGTAGTACGGTACATGTACCATGCCATAACGCCATAACGCCATAACGAGGAGTTGAGTTGGTTTTATACCAGAGCAGCATCACTACAAAGAACTTGCTGTATTACAGAAACATGCCTTAACGCTTCACCCGCTGCACACCCTTTCCTCCTCTCTTGGCTACTTGTTGCAGCCGCTGCCTGCCCTTCTGAATCACCTTACTCTCAATCCCCTTCACCTGGCCAGGCCTCACAACACCACCCTTCCCCCTCGCACCCTTAGCTGCTCCCCTCCCACCAACTGCTGCAGTTTCTCTCCCTCCTTTTCCTGCCGCTCCTGCCTCCGCTGCTGCTGCCCTCATCCCCTTACCCCTGTTCGGCCCTGACTCTATACCTTTTCCTATTGTAGCCTTTGCCTTTGATTCCTTTCCCTGTGCTGTCTTGAGCTGCTCCCTTCCCTGTGCTGATTTGCCAGCAGCAGAAAGAGCAGCTGCTGCGGCGGCATCAGCAGCAGCATCAGCAGCAGCGGCTGCATCCGCATCATTACTCTTAGAACCTCTAGTGGTCGTACCTCCTCTCCCCCTCCCTATTCCTGTCCCACTCCCTGTCCCTGTCCCTGTCAATTTCTGCTGCTGCTGGAGCTCTATCTTCTTCCCCGTTTGACCTTCTTTCCCCACTGCTTTTGCTTCTCCTTCCACTCCCTGTGCTGCTTCACCCTCCTTCAACCGCGCTCCCTTTGCTGCCCCTCTCTTCTGATCATCCCCTTTTGTCTCACCATCCTTCCTCCCACTGCCAACCACGCTCCTCAACAAGCTTCCCACTAGCTTCGCTGCCCTCCCAGCCGCACCACCAGCACCACCAGCCTTACCACCAGCACCAGCACCACCAGCCTTACCACCAGCACCAGCACCACCAGCACCAGCAGCGGTGAAAGAAGAGTTTGTGACAGGAACAGGTCCTGCTTGGTTCTTCTGCTTGCTGCCTCCTCCTCGCCTCCGCTTTAGCAGAGATTGCGGCTTGATCCCAGCCGTGGCCCTCAGCGCAGCAGGGAGGGTGGGGTTGTTGGTGAGAGACCAAGGGTCCTTGGGCCGCGTGCAGGATAGCGCTAGGCACTTGCATGCTTGGCCTGGGTGGCAGAGGGTGGAGGGTGGATGAGAAAAGAGAGCTCGATTTTAGTACTTTGACGGTGGTTGAAGGCACAGAGAGGGTGAGGTTGTTGGTGAGCGACCAGGGGTCCTTGGGCCGCATGCAGGAGAGAGCCAGGCACTTGCACGCTTGGCCTGGGTGGGAATTGGAGGGTGGAGATTGGGAAGTGGTTGGAGGGAAAACAGGACAAGAGATATTGGTTTTATTAGTCAGGGATGCAGGGGGATTGGGGTGGAGTCTGCTGGTGAGGAAACGGGGGCCTCTGGATGCGTGCAAAAGAGAGCCACCCCCCTCAACTTGGTCAGCCTCTGCGGCACTTGCACCCCCCGACCTCTGTGGTCGACCCGCCACATGCCCTTAAGCAGAAACCGTCTCGTCTTGTTCCATTTAGAGATAACGTTATTATTATGGATCATAACCGCGTCACCCCCTCCTTCTGTGCCTTCCTCTGATCCCACTAGTCCACCCCATTGATACACAGCAGCGGATCCAAACCCCCCAAGCCCTCTTTCTGTTAGCCAATGTCTCCCCTAGCCATGTCCTCTCCCTAAACCCCCCCAACCCTCCCCCCTTTCTCAGCCTCACCTCTATGGTCGACCCGGCACATGCCCTTGATCAGGAACCGTCTGGTCTTGTTCCACTTGGAGATGAGGTAGTTGTTGTGAATCATCACCGGCGTCACCCCCTCCTCCACTAGGGTACAGTACTGCTTTGCAGCCCCTCTCCCCCCCTCACCCGCTCACCTCTATGGTCGACCCGCCACATGCCCTTGATCAGAAACCGTCTGGTCTTGTTCCACTTGGAGATGAGGTAGTTGTTGTGAATCATCACCGGCGTCACCCCCTCCTTCTGCGCCTTCCTCCGGTCCCAATAGTCCCGCCCATTGATAAACATCAGCGGATCCAACCTTCCGGAACCCTCCCTTTGTTTGCCAATGTTTCCCCTAACCATGATCTCTCCCTAACCCCGCCCTGACCCTTCCCCCTTTATCAAACTCACCTCTATGGTCGACCCGCCACATGCCCTTAATCAGAAACCGTCTCGTCTTGTTCCACTTGGAGATGATGTAGTTGTTGTGAATCATCACCGGCGTCACCCCTTCCTTCTGCGCCTCCCACTGCTTTCCCTTGCAGCTTTTCCAGGGATTAACAGCCCCAGGTGTTACTTCCCTAATTGTTACCTTCCCGAGCCCTCTCCCTTCCCCTGTACCATCCCCCCCCTGCCTCTCTCTCACCTCTATGATCGACCCGCCACATGCCCTTGATCAGAAACCGTCTCGTCTTGTTCCACTTGGAGATGATGTAGTTGTTGTGAATCATCACTGGCGTCACCCCTTCCTTCTGCGCCTTCCTCCGATCCCAGTAGTCCCTCCCATTGATGAACAGCAGCGGATCCAGCCCCTGCAGCTGCACCGCGTATCTCTTTTGCCTAAGTAAATCATTTAAGAATTTCTGCTCGTGGTTGTGCTGCTGGGAGCGAAGAAACCGCCGATACTCGTCCGGATCCCGTTTAGAGGGATGCGTTTTAAGCCAGTCGATATGCTGCTCAAACATAGCCGTAAGCAGATCCCATAAAACGATAAGCTTTCGGGTGTGAACCAGGAGCAAGAACCCTCCGCATGGGTTCCCTTTCTCTTCTAGCTGGGCTAGAACATCGATTCCCTGGGCTTTAAGGGAGGTGAATGGGTCTGACAGCCATATAGCGTCAGCATCAGCTAGAAGGACGTTGTAACCCGCTTTAAGGATCTCCCCTACTGCTTTAGTGCGCGCGAGAATGAACTCTTTATAGGGTACACTGCCATAGTCTAGAGCTGCTCTTCTGATGTCCACTGCTGCTACTGCTGTTGCCCCACCTCCTCCTGCTGCTGCTGCCGAATCATTCCCAACAGCAGTCTTATTGCCTAGCGCAATTCCATCAGCTGCTGCAGCTGCTATTGCTGCTGTTGAATTGGCACCAGCGGCACCCCCTGCACCTGCTGTGTCTGCACCACCTGCACCATCAGCACCAGCAGCTACTCCTGCTCCTTGCTGCCCTGCTTCTCCCACCAATGCCCCATCCACACCCCCACCTGCCCCTGGTTTGCTGCACCCGGCACAATACACGGCAAAGCCCCGCCGCTTCAGAGAGAACGCGTGTGCCGGGTCCTGCGTGATTATAAAGAAGTTGCGGATTTGAAGCTCCTGTAGGTGGATGGGAGGAGGACGAAAGGGGGAGAGAGAGAGAGAGAGAGACGCAACAGGAGTAGCACAATCAGTACCAGCAGCAGCAGCAGCAGCAGCAGCAGCAGCAGCAGCAGCAGCAGCAGCAGCAGCAGCAGCAGCAGCAGCAGCAGTGACACCTGCTACTTGCTGCTCTGCCTCTCCTACTGCTGCCCCACCCACAACCCCCCCAGCCCCTGGTTTGCTGCACCCGGCACAGTACACGGCAAAGCCCCTCCGCTTCAGAGAGAACGCGTGTGCCGGGTCCTGCGAGTTTATAATGAAGTTGCGGATATGGAGCTCCTGTTGGGGATTGGGATAATTGGGAAGTGAGGGGAGAAATTAATGATAATCAAAGAGAACGTGTGTGCTGGGTCCTGCGTGATTATAAAGAAGATTCGGATTTGGAGCTCCTGCAGGTGGATGGGATAATTGGGACGAGAGGGGAGCGGCAGGTGTTGATTCGGCGTGTTGCTTAAACCAAGAGGGCGCAAGGGGCGGAGAAACGGAGTGCTTTCTTGCAACTCAACTTGCAACTCAACTTGCAACTCAACTAGGGACTACCCACGCACCTTGACGTAGCAGACCCAGTTGTTCAGTGTGTCGTCATATCGAATACCAACGAGGGAGAGAGTGGAGAGGGAGGGAGAGAACGGTGGGAGAGGGGAACACTTGAACCCACCTTGTTCAGCATGTCATCATACCCCGGAGACACCATGACGCCAGCCACGGCAGAGTCCCAGGCAATGCGCTGCAGCAGCCCTCTCAGCTCGCCCGCACTCCACGCCACCTCCCCCCGCGGCACCTCCCTCCCACAATGGTCCACCCGGGGCAGAGGCGCGAGGGAGCGGGGCGAGGTGGTGAGGTGGAGGGAGAGGGAAAGAGGGAGGAGAGAGGAAGAGAGAGGGAGAGAGAGAGGGAGGGAAGGAGGGAGAGAGAGGGGGGAAGACCCGGACGCACCTTGACGTAGCAGACCCAGTTGTTGAGCATGTCATCATATCCCGGCGACACCATGACGCCAGCCACAGCAGAGTGCCACTATGACCCAGTTGTTGCGCAATGCGCTATAGCAGCCCTCTCAGCTCGCCTGCACTCCACGCCAGCACAGGGTGGCAAGCAATGCACTGTATCCTGGCGTAACACGGGACTCGACTACTGTTGCACACCCACCACGCACCTTTACATAGCACACCCAGTTGTTGAGCATGTCATCATAGCCCGGCGACACCATGACGCCAGCCACGGCAGAGTGCCGCGCTATGCGCTGCAGCAGCCCTCTCAGCTCACCCGCACTCCACGCCACCTCCCCCCGCGGCACCTCCCTCCCACAATGGTCCACCCGGGGCAGAGGCGCGAGGGAGCGGGGCGAGGTAGTGAGGTGGAGGGAGAGGGAGGAGGAGAGGCGGAGCGCAGAGGGGAGCGGGAGGAGGGTGGGGGTGGCGGTGGGGTAGGCGAGAGGGGGTTGGGAGTCCATTGAATAGCAGAGACGTGTGGGGCTGTTCAGGTCCTGTAGGGGGAAAAGATGCAAAGGGTTCAAATGGGGTTGGGATGGGTGATGCGGAATGGGTGGAGGGACGGGGAGGGGGTGGGTAGGCGAGAGGGGGATTGGGAGTCGATTGAATAGCAGAGACGAGTGTTGCTGCTCAGGTCCTGTAGGGGAAAAGGTTGCAAGGGGTTCAAATGGGGTTGGGATGGGTGATGAGGAACGGAAGGAAGGACGGGGCGGGGGTGGGTAGGCAAGAGGGAGATTGGGAGTCGATGGAGCAGCAGAGCTGTGTGGGGCTGTTCGGGTCCTGTAGGGGTTGAAACATGGGAAGCATGGAAGGAGGATAGATTATGGGTGGAGATGAGAGGGGAAGAGGATGGGGTGAAGAGCAGGTGGGGGATCAGGAAGGGGTTGGGTAGGCGAGAGGGGGTTGGGAATCGGTCGAGAAGCAGAGAAGAGACGCATGGAAAGGCTTGTAGGGGAGTAGGGTGGGAGGGAGGGTAGGATGGAAACAAGGGTGGGATGATGGGAAGATGGGTGGGATTATTGAGGGGAAGGTGGGATGATGATGGGAGAAGGAAAATATGTGGGGGAGAGGTGGGTGGAAAGGATGCGTTGCTTGGGTTTTTGAGGGGGAGAGGTGAGAATTCTCAAAACCGACCTAAAAAAAAATGGGCGCGCGTTGAGGAGGGAGGATTCTCACCTCTCCCCCCCCCCCCCCCCCCCCCCGCGCACACACACACACACAAACACACACACACACACACACACACACACACACACACACACACACACACACACTTATACACACACCTCTTGAGGATCGAGTGTGCGTAGCATAAGGTTGTAAAGGTCGTTTTCCTCCACGTATGTTAGGAAGCTCACTCGCCAGTCTGAAGGAGGGAGTGGCAGGGGAAGGGGAAGGCAGATGGGAAAGAGAGCCACATGAGATTGTAAAGGTCGTTCTCTTCCACGTATGTCAGGAAGCAGACTTGCCAATCTGGCGGTTGACACAGGGAGAGAGGGAGAAAGTGTGTGCGTGTGGTTGGTACGCGAGAAACAAAGTGGGAGTGTGCACGGCAGGAGTAGCAGAAGGTTACAAACAAAGGTCGTTCTCATCCACGTACGTATGTCAGGAAGATCGCTCGCCGATTTGGACCCCTCCCACCGTCTCACCTTCCCTGCCTTGCCTCCCAGTCAAACTTGAGGTGGGCGGAGTTGACCTGCTGGGCCTGCGACAGCGCATGCCACGCCCAGAACTGCCTAAGCAGACACCTCCCCCCATCTCACCTTCCCGGCAGGGGGCGCTGAAGTCGTAGGCATCCCAGTCGAACTTGAGGTGAGCGCTGTTGACCTGCTGGGCCTGCGACAGCGCATGCCACGCCCAGAACTGCCGCCACGGCTGTGGAAACACCACCTGGCACGAACGAGCCATGGCCAACGACAACACCCCCACTCCCGGTGCTTCTCCCCCTGCTCTCCCCGCCGCTGCTGCCCCTCTTCCTGCTGCCCCTGCTGCTTCTCCTGCTGCTGCTCCCCCTAGTAGGGCTTCTTCTGGGCGCTTAAAGCCCGTCATGATTGGCGAGTCTTCGGCGAGGAAGGGCGAGTCCGGGTCTAGAGCGATCCCAAACAGCCCTGACACATGCGCACCCGTGCTCTCCTCCTCGCTACTGTCACTTCCGTTACTATCCCCTCCGCTACCGTCCCCACCACCACTGCTGCTGCTGCTGCTTCGCTCCCGTCCTCCCTTCTCCCCTGCTCCATCCCCCACACCCTCTCCCCCATAGCCCCCATAAAACCCCCCAACGCTCGCCTCGACAGTGAAAGCGGCAGGGTTACCAGCAGCAGCAGGGGCGAGGGCCAGGGCTTTAAGCACGGGGTAGAGGCCGGGGGAGACGCGGGAGGAGGGGTCGAGGAGGAGGAGGAACTCGCGGGGGGAGGCGGGGAACCAGAGGGGGAGGGGGTCGGTGGGCTTGGCACTGTTGCCTGATAGCTCGATTACGCGCCTCGGGCCGTGGAACCAGGGGAACTCCTGTGGGGATTGGGAGAGGAAAGGGTGGATGGAGGGAGGAGGTGGGAAAAGGGGTCCTCACCTCTATCCCTCTTCCACACCTGAGAGCCTCTATCTAGGATCTATTCCTCGATGAATTAGCAGGGAACTGTGGCAGGTAAATGTGGCAGGTGACTGTAGCAGGTGACTGTAGCAGGAGCACGTGTTTTCCTCTCACCTGAGCACTCCTGGCAGCAGCACTGCAGGCGGTGGCCACTGTGAGTGAGCTGCACCTCGTCCTCGCCACACTTCACGTCCTGCAAGCGCAGTGCCTGCAGCAGGTGACTCTAGCAGGACAGTATCGTATGACTATATCGAGGACATCCTCTCACCTGTGCGCTCCTAGCAGCAGCACTACAGGTGGTAGCCACGGTGAGCTGCACCTCGTCCTCGCCATACTTCACGTCCTGCAGCGCAGTGCCTGCAGCAGGTGAGTGTATCATGTGACATCTGTAACCCTCTCTTCCTCACCTGGGCACTCCGGGCAGCAGCACTACAGGTTGTCGCCACTGTGAGCTGCACCTCGTCCTCTCCGTATTTCACGTCCTGCAGTGACTGCAGCAGCGCCTTCAGCCCCTTGCTGTCACACTCCGCCCTCACCTGTGCAGGTAGGGAGAAAGAGGGGACGAGGGGGGGAGGGATGGGATGGAAGGAAGAGGGAAGGGGGAAGGAGGGAGCAGTGATTCGCACCTAGTCCTCTCCGTATTTCACGTCCTGCAGTGACTGCAGCAGCGCCTTCAGCCCCTTGCTGTTACACTCCGCTCTCACCTGTCAATGGGGGACGAGGCGAAGGGGGAATGGGAACGGGTAATGCGAGGAAGAGGGAGGGGGGAGGAGAAATGGGGATGGGGGAGGGGAAAAGAAGGGGGGAGGGGTTTTGGCAGGGGAAGGGATTGCAACGGAAACTCCACCAGCACACGAGTGCCACATTTCGCTCAAACACGAGCACTCACCAGAATGTGCAGCTGCAACGGCTGAGCGTTGAGTCTCGTGCGCTCATCTGCCACCACCACAACGTAAGGCTGATTGAACCGGCCTCATCTCACCACAACGTGCACCTGAACCTCTTTCAACCACTCCCAAAAACACTCAGTTCAACCCCCCCCTCAACCACTCACCAGAATGTGTAGCTGGAACGGCTGTGCGTTGAGCCTCTTGCGCTCATCAGCCACCACCGCCGTCGCGGCAGCCACCCGCTGCTGCACCTCCTCCCCCATTGGCGGACCCGACCACTGGACGCGCAGCCTCTCCGCGCGCCACCGCGCCTCCGCGCGGCCCCCCGCCTCCGCCACTCCCCCCCTTGCGCTCCCCGCCTGCTTCTCCGCGCCACCCCGCACAGAGCCGCCTTCCCCGTTCCCGCCTTTTCCGCCGCCAGAGGCAGGGAGGTTCTGATAGGCCTCTTTTTCGTACTCCGCGGCTCGTCGCCTCGTGCCTGACCCGTCGCCTACTGTCACGTGGACAGAGCCGAAGGGATCGGAGACGACCGATAGGGAGGACGAGCCGGGGGAGGTAGATCTAGGGGAGGATAAAATCGTAGATATGATCGCGTCGGCCGTGAACAGTAATGCGAAGAGGAGAATGGCGGCGGACGTTGTAAGGCACTGGAGGCCGAATTGCATGAGAGGATTGCGGCGCGAATCGCGGCGCGGCTGCTGTGACTTAAACGAGGGCCCGCGCGCCGCGTGGCGGAGGACGGGGGAGGAGCTTCCGCTTCCACCACCTCCGCCTCGCCGCGGATCGCCAGATGCTGACGTGGACGACGTGACTAAGCTGGCTCCGGGAATTGCGCTGCTGACGCCGCTTCGGGAGGGCGAAGCGGACCTCGCAGGCGACCCGCTGCTGGGTCGCAGAGCCGTCGCCTGCGACGCGTTGGCGGCATGTGGCGACCCACCCACGCCGCGTCGCCCACTGAGTCCTCGAGAGTCCATCAGGCCGTTGCGACGGGCATCTGAAATCGCCGGGACTGTCTACAGAGTAAGGCTGAGTACGGACGGACAATACTACAGAAAAGGGCCTGACCACGGACTGTCAAGACTACGAATTGGTGAAGAGAAGAGTCAAAGCACGAATGGTGCAGGGTTCATTTCTAGTGCCACAAGCGTAAGTTCCTGCCGGGAATGGAGCGAAATGAAGGTGTACGGTAGGCGCTGCGCAATGAGGTGGCAAGACTACCTGTAACCGTTGTCAGCCACAACTAGTAATGCCTGTTATGGTATGCTCCCTGTTTATGGTTGATACAGTCACCTCGCCTCGCCACGCCACTAGTCACATACTCTCCCTCCCTTCCCTGTGCCAGGCACCATAAGCCAGCAGCTTCCAAATCCAACAACCAGGAGAACCATGTATCCCATTCAGGGCAATTTGAAATGTGTCGCAAATGCGCCTGACAGTGCGGCATGATAAATATTTCATTCGGTTAATTCCGGTTCTGAGTGAAACCTGGTAAGAGATGAAATCGAGAAACCAAAATCTAGGGAATCGGAAGGGGGTGGGAAAGGTTGAGGAGAACTACGGGTGTACCCACTGGCCAAAATAGTGACGAACAGTTTAAAACATATAAAAGACAGGTAGTTTAAGAATATATCGCTACCCTATCCATCCCTGATAAGGTGCTTAAAAAACATATCAAACTGTACGTGGGCCCGCCAGAACACCACAGCAAGCCTGCAAATTGGAAGAGGTGTTGCAAAGCGAGAATGAAACCCATTATCAACACAGCGAGCCTGCACCACAAGATGGAGCACCACAGCGAGCCTGCAAATGAATCCATTATCCTAGATAGATTCCTGCCAACCCAGTCTTCAAATCCTTCCCATCTTTACTCCCATTCTCATGACCTCACCTCCATCGGCTTCCATCTACTTTTAGATTCATATTAACTCATGCCCCACCATCTCCCTGCTTCTCCCCTGTGCATTTCATGCAGCCCCAGCTCCTCATTGTGCTCCCACAACTGGACATACATAGTACCATGCACTTTTGCCTGCTCGCCTCTGAGTCTTCCATTCTCCAGCCTACCAGTCAGTCACTCTTGAATCGCCTCCAGCTCACCCTTCTCCGCTTTCCCCTGCACATGCTGCTCGCCTGTCCGCATGTCATGCAGGCCCAGCTCCTCGTCCCTCTGCCACGACCCCACCTCCCAGGCCCTACCACTCACTCCTGTATCGCCTCTAGCTCAGCTTTCCCCTCCCTCCCCTCCCGCTCCACATGCTGCTCGCCAGTCCGCATGTCATGCAGTCCCAGCTCCCCGTCCTGCTCCCACAATCGCACATACCAGTAGACACCCGGCATTTTCACCTGCTTGCCCCACCTCCCAGCCCCTACTAGTCACTCTTGGATCGGCTCCAGCTCACCCTTCTCGTTCCCCTGCACGTGCTGCTCCCCTGTCCGCATGTCATGCAGACCAAGCTCCTCATCCTGCTCCCACGACCGCACATACTCCTCCACCCGCACCTGCCCATCGTCCTCCAGTCGCTCGCCCACAAACGACACAAACAAGTTGGCCAGCGCGTCGTCCACAACCAAATGCCACTCGTCAACTCCTCCCACTCCGCCTCCTCCTGCACCTGCCCATCGTCCTCCAGCCGCTCTTGAATCGCCGCCGGTTACTCTTGAATCGCCGCCAGCTCACCCGGCTGCTCCCCCGTCCGCATGTCATGCAGACCAAGCTCCTCATCCTGCTCCCACGACCGCACATACTCCTCCACCTGCACCTGCCCATCGTCCTCCAGTCGCTCGCCCACAAACGACACAAACGAGTTGGCCAACGCGTCGTCCACAACCAAATGCCACTCCGTCAACTCCTCCATCTCCTCCCCCTCCGCCTCCTCCACCCTCTCTTCCTCCCCAGATTCTCCCTTCTCTTTCTCCAACTTCCCCTCTGCTCCAGACCCATTCTCAACCCCAGCACCACCACCAGCATCAGCACCACCAGCAGCATCAGCGCCACCACCAGCAACGGTCGCCCTGTTCCGTTTCACGCTAACGGGTTCGCCAGCAGCCAGTGCGCGCAGCTGCCTATCCAGCTCCTGCCACTTGCTCCTCTGCCACTCGGGAGCGCTGTCCCCGATCTCAAACGGTCGGATCCGTTTCAAGCTGTCCGCGATTTCCGTTACAAGCCCCTCCACTGTAGTCACCCGTCCGCCTAGAGTCCCAGCGCCTAGTTCTAATTCAATCTCGGGAATATACACCGCGGCGGATTCGGCTTTGATTATATCGCGGGATAGATCCTTCTGGTTGCGGACTGTGAGGGTGATTTTGCGTCCCTTGGGCGCCACGCCGCCAGCGGCTTTTAACTCGGAGTTTTTATACCCGCACGCATCGCATGATGTGGACATCAGAATGACGTCCTTGAAATACGGAATCCGCGTCGCGAACATGCGCGTCACGCACACCTCGTCCACGTCCGCCGCTCCCCCCTCCGCCTCCCCCGTCGCTTCCCCCTCCGCTCCCCCTTTTTCCTCGACTCCCTTCCCCGCGTCCCCGCTAGCGCCGCACGCGCTGCAGGTGGCGGGGAATACCATCACCTCTTCAGGCGCGGAGTATCCGCACAGCAGCGCATTACTCGCCAGGTCCGCGTTATTCCCGCCGGCAATCGCGCGATACGCCAGCTCAGCACCCACCGACCCGTGCGGAAGCTTCGTCGGATCCCCCGCTGCGCCCCCCCCTGAAACTTCCCCCGCTTCCCCGTCTTCCCCTGCGCCCGCAGGAGCCGCGAGAAAGCCTAGCTTCTCGTTCTGCTCCGGCGTGCGCTCGTAATGCTCAACCTTCAAGATCGGATCGGGTTCCGGAGCGCGCGGGTTCTCGACGTAACTGTTACCCGACGGATCGTCCAGCACGAGCGTAAACGCGCGCGAGCCGTCGATGCAGGATTTCAATTTCGCGAGGAATTCGTCGATTGCGGCGGCGACGGCGGCGTCCGCCGCGCGTCGCTCCGCCTGCAGCGCGCCGAGCCCATCGTGCGCGCGGGTCAAGACGCCCTCCACAGTGGTGAGCGTGCCGCGCTGCGACTCGGGCGGGATCTCTAAGTCGATCTCCGGAATTCGGATCGTCGCCGAATCGGATTTCACCACTTGTCGGTTCATCAGCGCCTCGTGAGAGTCCGTAGTTTCCTCGGTTGCTCCTTCCTCAGAGACCGGTACGGAGAGGGAGAACCGTACGCCGGTGGGTTGTAACGACCCGGCGAACTGTACCTCGTTGTTGGACTCGTTACAATGCGGGCACTCGAACGCCATGATGACGAGCTCCCGAAAATGCGGGACACGTGTCAGCATAAGCCGCGTCGTGCCCTGCTCGTGGCACCGCATGCACAGGCTCTCGATCTCGTCCACTGCGGGAGGCCCTGCCGCATCCGCTGCGGCGGCGGCGGCGGAGGCGGAATCGGCGGAATCGGCGCTACCTGCGACGCCGTTAATCTCCGCGGCGACTCGAGCGGAGAGATCCTCCACTGCCTGCCCAATGTCTGGAATCGTTGGAGCTGACGTGGCCATTGCTGTGCTCTAGGAGATACGGTTGGGAGATTCGATGACGATATGGGTAGTGGGGAAATTTGTGTACGAAGCTATAAGTCTGCGCAGTAGTAGTCTGGCCGCTAATCGCCGAAATCACGTAGTTTTGATCCGTGTGAAGGATTCTATAATAATACCTGCACGACGCGGTGATCACACGGACTTTATAGGCCTCCCTTGTCTGACCAACTTGCGCAGGTTCAGATTATCACCTAGCCTCGAGAACACTCGAGAAGAGGGGTTCGATTCGAGGTTCTAGTCTAGAATCTCTAGAATCTAAAACACAGGGAATAGGGTTCTAGAAGCCTCGAACAATCGGCTTCGCAATAAGCACTCGAGCCGAATTTGATACGCTTCAATGTACCTGCGTATTCACCTAACAGATGTACAAATATCATTCAAATGGACAGCGTGATCGTTTTGCGCATTCGCTCTATTAAAGCCAGGGTCTCATGTACGGGTTGGCTGTGCAACTGCACAACACTTGGGCGAAGAGTGGGTTCTTTGGCGTGTCTCGATTCAGATTCGTAAACCAATCAGACAGGCCCTTTTTTCATCGACTGTAAAACACCAGCTCTACTTGAGACCCTGGCTTTAACAGATGTGTCTCGACTCCAGTCTGAAATTTGTCCTACGAAACTGACAAATTTGCCTTGAATCCTCGTGTCAGACAGATCCGAAATTTGGAACGGACTTGGGACTTGGAAACAATGCGTCCCCGCGTGCAGCTTCAGATTCGCCTCGTGGGTGGTGCTGCTGCTGCGAGCACCAAGCAAGAATTCGCAAGCATCTGTTCCAAGCACTGCTTCTCTCGCGGATAGATCACCATCGATATAGTCACAATCAGAAGCTGATCTCCAGCGACCACCCTCCGGCACGCCATCCCGTTACATCTCACTCACTTGACTCCGCGTCGCTTCATTTCGCAGCCGTCATTCCCTTTCCCGCATCTCGCGCGCTTTTTCCCATTCCAGTCAACTCGCCGCTGTTCAATACGCTGTCTTGACGCGCCTCGACAGCCTTTCCTGTGCGCTGCGGCGACCAAAGCACTGGAATCTGACGCTGCTCTTGTGGCAAGCCCATTACCACCCAAACGAGTCATCACAGATCCAATACCTCATACCCTGGCTCCGTCTTCCAATACCCACTACATTGGTCACAATGCCGCCACCACGTCTCCTCCGCCGCCTCTCTGCCCTTCGCCGTCGTTCCTCTCCCCTCTCCCGCCTCCTGCCAGCCCTATCCTCTCCCTCACCCTGCTCCTCCGTCGCTTTTGCTTCTCATTTTACCACTCTCCAGCCCTCCTTAACTTGGATCTCCCCTCACCAACCCCTCTCTACCGCGTCTTGCCATTCTGCTCCTTTGCACTCCCCCTGCACGCACGCGTCCCTCCACGTGCCTGCCTCCCATTGGTCCTCCGTCCTTCCCTCACTCAACCGGCCGCTTGACACATCAGCAGCAGCCCCATTGGTCGATTCTCTTATCCCAACCTCCAGCCAATCATCAACGGCCCAATCAGTGACGTGTCAAAATGCCAATGGTCAATATTTGCCAAGCCAATCAACCATCAGGCCATCACCACCATTCATTGGCTTTTCTGAAAACAAATCGATGTCCAGTCAATCCCTGCTCAACCAATCAACGTCCAGCCAATCGCAGTCACGGTTACGCTTCGGCAGTCACCACCCATACAACTGCCATATAAGCAGTTTCCGCTCACACAGCTACCTTTTAAACGCGCGAGGATTTGCAAGCGACACGCTGCTGCCGCTCCAAATCGAAGCATCTGATAACAGGTCGTCCCATAACGAATCCTCTCATAACGCATCAGAAGCAGCTGGCAACCACAGTCTCAGCACTCTTAACACCTGGGGTCGCGACACGGAACCACATGAGCGAGAGTCAGGCTTTGAGAGGTCTCAGGACTGGGATCAGTGGAGGGGAGAAGAAACACAAATCGGGAGTTCAGGCTCAGTAGATGCTGATTCTCTGATAGACTCTGCAGCAGCAGTAGGAGCAGGAGGGGGGGTAAATTCAGCAGCAGGAGCAGTGGGAGCGGCTGGGTGGTTGGGTGGCTGGGCGTGGCTGGGTGTGCCTGTAGACGCTGTGACCCAAATGGTGTCCTCGATACAAGCCACCACAGGAGCTCCCTGGTGAGACTGGCATTGCCTGACTGGTCGTTGTTCCTTCTGTGATACCTTAGTTTGTTTTTACCTTAAAAAGTGTACGTTATGTAGTTATGCTGCATGCGAATATATATTTTGGCTCGCGCACATGTCCGTTGCCAATACCCTTCCCTGTCATGCCAGGTGGCTCACGCTGATTGGCTCCACCCTCGCCCTCCGACTCATACTCTTCCCCCTCACGTGGCATCAGATGAGCATCAGCTCTCAGCTCGCCGCCCTGGGACCCAAACGTACGTCATTTCGTCCTATTATTTGCGGGCGGCGTAGACAGGCACGCACTCTGTACCCACCCTGCCTCGCGCTCTCCGCCTGGCGCTCTTCCCCCTCACGTGCCTCAGATGGGCATCAGCTTGAAACTCGCCGCCCTGGGACCCAAATGTACGTCCTTTCCTCTTTCTATCTAAGCGCGTGGGTTAGACACACACTCTGTACTCGCCCCACCTTGCACACTTCACTCTCTTCTGGAATCAGATGAGCATCACCTCTCAGCTCGTCGCCCTGGGACCCAAATGTATGCCATGCCTTCTGTTGTTTATCAGGTGGGTTAACCGCTCTTTTCTTTATCACTCACGCACTCTCTCTCCTGTACTCTCCTTACCTCCCTTTTCCCACCACGCATCTCTCCCAGTGCCCCCGCCCTCTCCTCTCCCCGCCAGCAGCATGACATGGCAACAAGCATGGGCGCTGAGGCAGAGGAGGAGGTAGGGGACAGGTGGGCTAACCACCCTTTGTATTCTCTTACTCACTCACTCACTCCCTCTCCTGTCCACTCCTTCCCTCCACTTCCCCACCACTCCTCTCCCACAGTGCCCCCGCCCTTTCCTCACCCCGGCAGTGGCATGACATGGCAACAGTCATGGGCGCGGAGGCAGAGGAGGAGGAGAGTAGGCCGAGCCACGTACGAAAAGTTCCTACTCACGCACTCTCCCTCCTGTCCCCCTCCCCCTCTCCCCTTCCCCGCCCCAGTGCCCCCGCCCTTCCCCCTCCCCGGCAGTAACATGACATGGCAGCAGGCATGGGCGCTGAGGCAGAGAAGGAGGAGGCAACTCAATGCGCCCTCTGCACTGTGGCTGCTCGCCGCTCCTGCTGTGCAGGTATGGCCGCTCCTGCTGTGCAGGTATGGCCGCTACCTGTAGGAAAAGACATGCCTTTGCACTGGTTCAATTGTCATCTCTGAACGTTCACTGTCACTTTCCTGGCACTATATGCCACCAGATACGATACCACTGTTCTTCACCATGTTCTTTTCTTTCTCGTCCTCTCAAAACCCTCTCCACCCCTCCCCTGCCTCCCATTGATACTATGCTGCCATGTCATACCACCAGATCCCACTCTTCTTCACGTGGATATTTACCATGCGTCACATGGCCTTTTGTTGAGTCCACTCAAGAACCTCTCCACCCCTTCCCTCCCGCCTGCTGCCACCATGTGCCACCGCATCCCACCAGATCCCACTCTTCTTCACCTGGATATTCACCATGCGCCACATGGCCCTGTCAGCGCACCCGGGATTCGATGTCGTGAGTGGCAGTGATGGGTGGTTTCCGATGTGTGTATGCTCGGGTACTATTGCTTCAGCCTTCATGGGGTGGGTGTTATTGCTTGGATGGATATTCACCATGCGCCTCATGACCCTGTCAGCGCACCCGGGATTCGATGTCGTGAGTGGCCACTTATCACGTGTCGGTGCTTTCCAAGTGTCATTTGATTTTACGTTGTGTGTGGTATTGTGTACGCTTGGTGTCTCCAGCAAACATGTGCCTAGAAGGTTTTGTGTTACGGTGGTGATTATCAAGTTTTTTTTTCATTTTCACGTGAGTGAGTGGTGTTGCCTGAACCATGCTTTGCAACGTAGGTCATGTTAGAAGGGCAGCAGTGTTAGAAGGGCAGCAGTGTTAGAAGGGCAGCAGTGTTAGAAGGGCAGCAGTGTTAGAAGGGCAGCAGTGTTAGAAGGGCAGCAGTGTTAGAAGGGCAGCAGTGCTAGAAGGGCAGCAGTGCTAGAAGGGCAGCTGTGCTCGAAGGGCAGCAGTGCTCGAAGGGCAGCAGTGCTCGAAGGGCAGCAGTGCTCATGGTATTCTTCTAACACTTCTAACACTGCTGCCCTTCTAACATGAGCTTAGTCATTTACGCGTGAGTGAGTGGTGGTGCCTGAACCATGCTTTGCAACGTGGGTCATGAGGTTCCATATGTCCGATCCGATGTACATCCAACCCTGTGTTAAAAGTTGGGTTTTGAGACGTCTCAAAATGTACATCCAACCTTGTCCACTCTGCAATGCACGTCGTTTCCATCTGCAACCCCCCCAAACCCCCCACTCCTGTGCCCCTGCCAGGGCGGGTGTCTGTGGTTTGAGGACCTCACAGCTTTCCCCCACGGCGTGCTGGGCTGGGTGCTTCCCCTCTCCATCGCTGCTTCCTTCTACTCCTCAGTGCAGGTGCTCTCCCTTCCACCTCCCTTCCACCTCCCTTCCACCTCCCTTCCACCTCCCTTCCACCTCCCTTGCCCCTCACCACCCTCCCCCTTCACCACCCTCCCCCCTCACCACCCTACCTCAATCGTTCACCTCCCTCTGCTGGGCTGGGTTCTTCCCCTCGCTATTGCTGCTTCCTTCTCCTCCTCCCTACAGTTGTCTTTCCTTCCACCTCCCTTGCCCCTCACGGTTCCCCATCTCCTTCACCTCCCTCTGCTGGCCTGGGTGCTTCCCATCTGTATTGCACTCAGTGACGGTTTGATCGGCACCTCGCCTCCGGTTGCTATGCCTGTCCCTCCCTTTCTCTCACCCACTGCCCACCCCTCGTGCTTCTCTCCCACTCCCCACACCCCGTTTTCCCATTATCCCTCTTCCCTTCTGACACTCACCCTACCGCCTTCTTCTCTCCCACCATCCCATCGCTTCACTTTGCCCCACAACCCTTTCCCTCAGATACACCTCTGTAGTACCCCCAACCCTCGCTCTGTCCCCGCACAAGGGTGCATAGGTGATGATGATACCGCTGCACAAGATGGGTGCACTCACCACAGCATCTGCATCTCACATCCTGCCCCTCCCCACCTTCCTGTGCTCGTCTTGTCGCTGTGCCCTCCCTTAGCAATTCTTGTCTCTGTGCCCTCCCTTAGCAATTCTTGTCTCTGTGCCCTCCCTTAGCAATTCTTGTCGCTGTGCCCTCCCTTAGCAATTCTTGTCGCTGTGCCCTCCCTTAGCAATTCTTGTCGCTGTGCCCTCCCTTAGCAATTCTTGTCGCTGTGCCCTCCCTTAGCAATTCTTGTCTCTGTGCCCTCCCTTAGCAATTCTTGTCTCTGTGCCCTCCCTTAGCAATTCTTGTCTCTGTGCCCTCCCTTAGCAATTATTGTCTCTGTGCCCTCCCTTAGCAATTCTTGTCTCTGTGCCCTCCCTTAGCAATTCTTGTCGCTGTGCCCTCCCTTAGCAATTCTTGTCGCTGTGCCCTCCCTTAGCAATTCTTGTCGCTGTGCCCTCCCTACGCAATTCTTGTCGCTGTGCCCTCCCTTAGCAATTCTTGTCTCTGTGCCCTCCCTTAGCAATTCTTGTCTCTGTGCCCTCCCTTAGCAATTCTTGTCTCTGTGCCCTCCCTTAGCAATTCTTGTCTCTGTGCCCTCCCTTAGCAATTCTTGTCGCTGTGCCCTCCCTTAGCAATTCTTGTCTCTGTGCCCTCCCTTAGCAATTCTTGTCGCTGTGCCCTCCCTTAGCAATTCTTGTCGCTGTGCCCTCCCTTAGCAATTCTTGTCGCTGTGCCCTCCCTTAGCAATTCTTGTCGCTGTGCCCTCCCTTAGCAATTCTTGTCTCTGTGCCCTCCCTTAGCAATTCTTGTCGCTGTGCCCTCCATTAGCAATTCTTGTCGCTGTGCCCTCCCTTAGCAATTCTTGTCTCTGTGCCCTCCCTTAGCAATTCTTGTCGCTGTGCCCTCCCTTAGCAATTCTTGTCGCTGTGCCCTCCCTTAGCAATTCTTGTCGCTGTGCCCTCCCTTAGCAATTCTTGTCGCTGTGCCCTCCCTTAGCAATTCTTGTCGCTGTGCCCTCCCTTAGCAATTCTTGTCTCTGTGCCCTCCCTTAGCAATTCTTGTCGCTGTGCCCTCCCTTAGCAATTCTTGTCGCTGTGCCCTCCCTTAGCAATTCTTGTCGCTGTGCCCTCCCTTAGCAATTCTTGTCGCTGTGCCCTCCCTTAGCAATTCTTGTCTCTGTGCCCTCCCTTAGCAATTCTTGTCTCTGTGCCCTCCCTTAGCAATTCTTGTCTCTGTGCCCTCCCTTAGCAATTATTGTCTCTGTGCCCTCCCTTAGCAATTCTTGTCGCTGTGCCCTCCCTTAGCAATTCTTGTCGCTGTGCCCTCCCTTAGCAATTCTTGTCGCTGTGCCCTCCTTTAGCAATTCTTGTCGCTGTGCCCTCCCTTAGCAATTCTTGTCTCTGTGCCCTCCCTTAGCAATTCTTGTCGCTGTGCCCTCCCTTAGCAATTCTTGTCGCTGTGCCCTCCCTTAGCAATTCTTGTCTCTGTGCCCTCCCTTAGCAATTCTTGTCGCTGTGCCCTCCCTTAGCAATTCTTGTCGCTGTGCCCTCCCTTAGCAATTCTTGTCTCTGTGCCCTCCCTTAGCAATTCTTGTCGCTGTGCCCTCCCTTAGCAATTCTTGTCGCTGTGCCCTCCCTTAGCAATTCTTGTCGCTGTGCGCTCCCTTAGCAATTCTTGTCGCTGTGCCCTCCCTTAGCAATTCTTGTCGCTGTGCCCTCCCTTAGCAATTCTTGTCGCTGTGCCCTCCCTTAGCAATTCTTGTCTCTGTGCCCTCCCTTAGCAATTCTTGTCTCTGTGCCCTCCCTTAGCAATTCTTGTCTCTGTGCCCTCCCTTAGCAATTATTGTCTCTGTGCCCTCCCTTAGCAATTCTTGTCGCTGTGCCCTCCCTTAGCAATTCTTGTCGCTGTGCCCTCCCTTAGCAATTCTTGTCGCTGTGCCCTCCTTTAGCAATTCTTGTCGCTGTGCCCTCCCTTAGCAATTCTTGTCGCTGTGCCCTCCCTTAGCAATTCTTGTCGCTGTGCCCTCCCTTAGCAATTCTTGTCGCTGTGCCCTCCCTTAGCAATTCTTGTCTCTGTGCCCTCCCTTAGCAATTCTTGTCGCTGTGCCCTCCCTTAGCAATTCTTGTCGCTGTGCCCTCCCTTAGCAATTCTTGTCTCTGTGCCCTCCCTTAGCAATTCTTGTCGCTGTGCCCTCCCTTAGCAATTCTTGTCGCTGTGCCCTCCCTTAGCAATTCTTGTCGCTGTGCCCTCCCTTAGCAATTCTTGTCTCTGTGCCCTCCCTTAGCAATTCTTGTCTCTGTGCCCTCCCTTAGCAATTCTTGTCGCTGTGCCCTCCCTTAGCAATTCTTGTCTCTGTGCCCTCCCTTAGCAATTCTTGTCTCTGTGCCCTCCCTTAGCAATTCTTGTCGCTGTGCCCTCCCTTAGCAATTCTTGTCTCTGTGCCCTCCCTTAGCAATTCTTGTCTCTGTGCCCTCCCTTAGCAATTCTTGTCTCTGTGCCCTCCCTTAGCAATTATTGTCTCTGTGCCCTCCCTTAGCAATTCTTGTCTCTGTGCCCTCCCTTAGCAATTCTTGTCGCTGTGCCCTCCCTTAGCAATTCTTGTCGCTGTGCCCTCCTTTAGCAATTCTTGTCGCTGTGCCCTCCCTTAGCAATTCTTGTCGCTGTGCCCTCCCTTAGCAATTCTTGTCGCTGTGCCCTCCCTTAGCAATTCTTGTCGCTGTGCCCTCCCTTAGCAATTCTTGTCGCTGTGCCCTCCCTTAGCAATTCTTGTCGCTGTGCCCTCCCTTAGCAATTCTTGTCGCTGTGCCCTCCCTTAGCAATTCTTGTCGCTGTGCCCTCCCTTAGCAATTCTTGTCGCTGTGCCCTCCCTTAGCAATTCTTGTCTCTGTGCCCTCCCTTAGCAATTCTTGTCTCTGTGCCCTCCCTTAGCAATTCTTGTCGCTGTGCCCTCCCTTAGCAATTCTTGTCGCTGTGCGCTCCCTTAGCAATTCTTGTCGCTGTGCCCTCCCTTAGCAATTCTTGTCGCTGTGCCCTCCCTTAGCAATTCTTGTCGCTGTGCGCTCCCTTAGCAATTCTTGTCGCTGTGCCCTCCTTTAGCAATTCTTGTCGCTGTGCCCTCCCTTAGCAATTCTTGTCGCTGTGCCCTCCCTTAGCAATTCTTGTCGCTGTGCCCTCCCTTAGCAATTCTTGTCGCTGTGCCCTCCCTTAGCAATTCTTGTCTCTGTGCCCTCCCTTAGCAATTCTTGTCGCTGTGCCCTCCCTTAGCAATTCTTGTCGCTGTGCCCTCCCTTAGCAATTCTTGTCTCTGTGCCCTCCCTTAGCAATTCTTGTCGCTGTGCCCTCCCTTAGCAATTCTTGTCGCTGTGCCCTCCCTTAGCAATTCTTGTCGCTGTGCCCTCCCTTAGCAATTCTTGTCGCTGTGCCCTCCCTTAGCAATTCTTGTCTCTGTGCCCTCCCTTAGCAATTCTTGTCTCTGTGCCCTCCCTTAGCAATTCTTGTCTCTGTGCCCTCCCTTAGCAATTATTGTCTCTGTGCCCTCCCTTAGCAATTCTTGTCGCTGTGCCCTCCCTTAGCAATTCTTGTCGCTGTGCCCTCCCTTAGCAATTCTTGTCGCTGTGCCCTCCTTTAGCAATTCTTGTCGCTGTGCCCTCCCTTAGCAATTCTTGTCTCTGTGCCCTCCCTTAGCAATTCTTGTCGCTGTGCCCTCCCTTAGCAATTCTTGTCGCTGTGCCCTCCCTTAGCAATTCTTGTCTCTGTGCCCTCCCTTAGCAATTCTTGTCGCTGTGCCCTCCCTTAGCAATTCTTGTCGCTGTGCCCTCCCTTAGCAATTCTTGTCTCTGTGCCCTCCCTTAGCAATTCTTGTCGCTGTGCCCTCCCTTAGCAATTCTTGTCGCTGTGCCCTCCCTTAGCAATTCTTGTCGCTGTGCGCTCCCTTAGCAATTCTTGTCGCTGTGCCCTCCCTTAGCAATTCTTGTCGCTGTGCCCTCCCTTAGCAATTCTTGTCGCTGTGCCCTCCCTTAGCAATTCTTGTCTCTGTGCCCTCCCTTAGCAATTCTTGTCTCTGTGCCCTCCCTTAGCAATTCTTGTCTCTGTGCCCTCCCTTAGCAATTATTGTCTCTGTGCCCTCCCTTAGCAATTCTTGTCGCTGTGCCCTCCCTTAGCAATTCTTGTCGCTGTGCCCTCCCTTAGCAATTCTTGTCGCTGTGCCCTCCTTTAGCAATTCTTGTCGCTGTGCCCTCCCTTAGCAATTCTTGTCGCTGTGCCCTCCCTTAGCAATTCTTGTCGCTGTGCCCTCCCTTAGCAATTCTTGTCGCTGTGCCCTCCCTTAGCAATTCTTGTCTCTGTGCCCTCCCTTAGCAATTCTTGTCGCTGTGCCCTCCCTTAGCAATTCTTGTCGCTGTGCCCTCCCTTAGCAATT